TTTTATTATTACTATTGATAGTATTATTAATTTATTATTATTAGTAGTAGTAGTAATAGATGTAGTTGTAGTAATAATTTTAGTAATAGTACCAATAACAGTCGGAGTAGTAAATTTAGTAGTAGCAGTAGCAGCAGCAGCTATTGTAACAAAAGCAGTTTCGTGTAGTATTATTAATGGTAAATAGTAGTAGTAGTTGTAGTAGCAACAGTAGCTGTAGTAGCAGTATTAGTAGTAAAGGAAGAAGAATAATTACTAGTCATACTAATGAGAGTTGTAGTAGTTGTAGAAGTAGTAGTAACAACAGTAATAGTTGTAGTAGTAGTAGTAGTAGGGTAGTAGTAGAGTAGTAGTAGTAGTAGTAGTAGTAGTAGGGTAGTAGTAGAGTAGTAGTAGTAGTAGTAGTAGTAGTAGTAGTAGTAGTAGTAGTAGTAGTTGTTGTAGTAGACTACTAGTAGTAGTAGACTACTAGTAGTAGTAGTAGTAGTACTAGTAGTAGTAGTAGAAGTAGTAGTAGTAGAGTTGTAGTAGTAGAGTTGTAGTAGTAGAAGTAATAAAGTAGTAATTGTATTAGTAGCAGCCACTACAATGATAGCAGTAGTACCTACTACTACTAATAAATGTTTTACAGGCAAAACCACAATTTTTAATTAACCGTATATTAGTAAAATACATTGAAATGTCTTTGTAATGATACTAAAATACATTGAAGTATTTTTTTGTTAGTATCTTTTGACGCTAGAGTCTTAGTTGACAATAGCAACCCCACTTTGGTATGAACATCTTTTTGAAATTTCAACCAATTGTTTTGGTTTAATAGCGATTTTAACTCTTTTAACTTATGATGCAAATTATTATTAACAACAATAAAATTTTATTCCAACCACTCACACACACACAACAATAACACAACACACACAACAATAACACAACACACACAACAACAACACAAACAACAACAACACACACAACAACAACACAACACACACAACAACAACACAACACACACAACAACAACACACACAACAACAACACAACACAAACAGGACTAAATTAAAATACTAGCATACAGGACATAGATACATTTCTAACAAAGACTCCAACAACAATCACAACAACGGCTTTAACAACATCATTGAAATGACGTCAATAATAATAAAAACATCGACATGATAAACATCCCCAGCAACAACAACAACAACAACAAAGTAAGCAGCTTCAAAAGGATTTCCAACTTTTCGGATGACGACGACGACGACGTTGAGGATGACGAGGAAGTCATAAATTACCACACGAAAATGCTCCCCAACATCACTAAAACCACAAGTGGCCACATGATTGACAATACGAAAAACAGTGCAAACAAAAACAACCACAACAGCAACGACATAAATAATGTAACAAATATAGGCACAAACAACAACAACAGCAGCAGCAAATTATTTTTATCCCACGATATGAAAGAGATGCATTGCAAATCAAAGGATCCCAACATACTGACTGAGGAAAAAATTTCTGCATTTCACTCCCCAGCAATGGCGTCTTCCCCACAGCCCCACTACTATTCATACTTTCCACCTCCACCCTCCACCTCCAACCAATTATGCTACCACCAATACTACCACCCCCATCAGTACAACCACCAATATCACCCTCAGTACCACCATCACTACCACCATTACAACGCCTCTCCACCCCTTCAACACCAACCAGCCCTACACACGGGCAGCCACATTTCTAAACTTGCCCCCATCTTCCCAGCGCGCATGAGCCTCAACGTCAGCATGAATGTCGGCACTTTCGCTTCAGCCGTGCCAACGACAGCAGACGTCGACGAAATATATTTCCATCCATCGACGCAGAGCTCGAGTGACAACGCGAATTTTTATTTCCCAAATTCGAAACACGAATATTTCTTGAACAGAGGACCATCGGCTGATATCGAAGTTCTCGTCTCGCCCGACAGTAAGATCTATCTGACCGACGCTGGCTCCTTTCTCGCTGAGAGTTTCAAATTTTATGAGCCAACCAAACGTGCAGACAATCAGTTTCAACATTTGCAAAGTTATGACCAAATGTTGAACGTCAACAGGCAGCAAAAACACGTGGCTCGAAATGTTGGCAGCTACAGTACAATCAACATCAATGACAACAACAACAACAACAACAACAACAACAACAACAACAACAACAACAACAACAACAACAACAACGGTAATAACATCAAAAATAGTCAGAACGAAACTAATATCAACATCAATAGCATCAATAAAATTAATAACAGCAACACCATTAACAATAATAATAATTTTAACACTAATACCAACACTAATACCAGCGTAAGTAACAACCACAATGATAGAAGTGATGATTACAGGCATGCATTGACTTCCCATGAAAACATCAACGCCAACAAATGTCTACAAAACACCAATCAGTTCATTGTATACAACACTTCAACAGACAACAACGTTATTAACAACAACATCAAAACTTATCTAAACATGACCGACAACAACAACAACAACAACAGCCTCAAAAACACCTGTAGTTATGATTTCAGAAAAAACATTGACAATAACAACAACAACATTAATAACAATATCATCAGTGACATTAACATCAATGAAGCACAGAGCAACAAATTTGTTAATGACATCAACATGGATAACAACAACAATAGCAACAACACTACCAGCGATGAAGAGGACGACGAAGATGATGAAAGCAACCACGAAGCATCATTTAATTCTTCTGGAATATTTTCCGACTTAAGCAGCAGACGTAATTGTATGGATTCAACAATACATTCAACATCAACGTCATCTACAACGTCATCATCTACGTCATCATCATTGCTGTCGTCGTCATTATCGTCATCAAACTCGAGCTTAAAAAATTCTAGCAACAAAAAAATTAGTACGATGGCTTGCGATCAGGATGACGACAACGACGATGACGTCACCGATGTTAATGAGAACGATGTTTACGAAAAGAATCTCAATGCTTCATCATTTTATAACGCAACAACAACAAGCCTTCAGCAGTCATCTAGAAGCGAATCTCAGGCCGAAGAATACGCTCCGTACTGCCTCACTTATCCTGCCAATGATCACAATCGAATTTGGAGCAACAGTCACAGTAATAATGTCATTAATGATGGCGCCAACCTTGCAAACGCCATCAATGTTAGTGGCATCAATAGAACTGTAGCAAGCAGTAACAACAGAAACAACATCAACAACATTAACAACAATAACGCGATGTCATTAAACCCTATGTTAACAGACTGCGAAGAAGTTTACAACTTCAGCAGCAGCAGCAACAACAACAACAACAGTGTTGTACTTCCTGAACATGACATTTGCAACATTCGTTTCAACCAGCTAACACAGCAGCTAAGCAGCCAGCAAGAGTACCAACACCACAACAGACAACAACATCAATATTTTAAACTGCAATGTCCAAAAGTGACTAGCAATCAAACTTTTGATTACAGTAAAGATGATGATGATGATAACGATGACGACGACGACGATGAAATGGACGACGATGTTGAAGATAATTATGGTAACAAAAGCATTGAAACGCTAGTTGTAAACCACAAAGACACTACAAACAAAATCAGTAACGACATCAGCAACTTCAATGATAATAATGATTATTATCACTCAATATCAAACTACACAAAAGCGCATTTCACAAGAATGTCATCGTTTGAAGTTGAACCCAGCCCCGCCACCTTCAATCAACTCTACACAAGTCTGGAACCCAACCTTCGCTGCTGCCACTACAACGTCACTCAACTCAGCAGCAACATCGGTCACCACCACAACATTTACCAAATAATGGAAAAAAACTCTCTTTCTCCGTCAGCTACCCCATACGACTCTTACAAAAATTTCAGCAACTTTCAGTTTTATCGCCAACAGCATCAGCAACAACCAAATTACAATCAACAGCAGCAACAACAACAACATTCTCAAGCGCAACAGCCATCTTTAATCTCCAATGCTCCAAACTTGTGTCGAATTTGCGGCAAATCATATGCCAGGCCGAGCACTCTGAAGACTCATTTGAGAACTCATTCGGGAGACAAGCCTTACGTCTGCCACACGTGTAGCAAATCTTTCTCACAGGCCGCCAACCTGACAGCGCACGTGCGCACGCACAGCGGAGAAAAACCGTTTCGTTGTTCCGTATGCGATCGAAGGTTCTCACAGAGCTCCAGCGTGACGACGCACATGAGGACGCACTCGGGGGAGCGGCCCTACAGGTGCCGGACTTGCAAGAAGACATTCTCCGACAGTTCGACCCTGACGAAGCACCTGCGTATTCATTCTGGGGAAAAACCCTACAGGTGCAAAATCTGCCTGCTCAGGTTCTCGCAGTCAGGCAACCTGAACAGGCACATGCGGGTCCATTGCTGTTCTTCTTGAGATATTTGCTTCTCCTCCGTCGATAAGTTCGACCGTTGTTGAAATTGATTTCAAATATTTACAGCCCTATGCTGCTCATTCAATCATGTCATCATTGTAAATACTCTACCAATCGTGTTTTTGGATCCGTTTTTCAAGAGTTATTGTGCGTGAACATTGAATGAACGTGTTTGTGAAACTTACGTCTGCCTATTTGCTTCAGTTTATTGTGTGGCATCGACTACACTTTTTTTTGTGGGTTTTATGCATTAAAGATCCGAACTTAAATATGTTTCTCTATTGATAGTGGCAAAATCAAAAACATCTGATTTTAAAATACTTCTTATATGCGTGAATTATACTTTATCAAATTATTCATTTTATTTTTAAGTGTGCAATCATTCCCAACAAATTCCCTTTTATTAGTCAAACTGTTAAATTGGTAAGACCTCTGAAGTTCTGAAGTTATACGCCAGATAAATCTACCTCCTTAATTTTTTTGCATAATAGTTAAATATTTAAATTTATCATTTATAAATTTTAAAATAATTAATTTAAAGATGATTATTTTTATTTATCAAAAATGCAAAAATCACAAGTTTATATAGATACAAATAAGAAACAAAATTTGGTTTTTTAATGGTACAATAAATATTACATTCTGAATTATACTGTGTCTTTTTCTCAACGTAAATATAAAATAATCAAAAAAATGTTTTTTTTAACGACAAATGTAAATAGAAATAATACAAACACCTAAACGTTTGACTGAACGAGAGGTGTTCCTCAAGAAAAAATGGGCGGGGAGATGATGAGGATGAAGAAGATGAGGATGAGATGATGGAGTCGTGTTTCAATAGATATTCAAGTACGAAGTTATAAAAATATCACTTCATTTTTTGCTTACTACTTATATCAAAAATATTAATTTCATTGATAATTTCATGCCTCTTATTCTTATTTTCATTACTTATGTTATTATTATAAAAAAATATTACTCGTTACCATTAACTAGTATTATTACTGTTGTTACTACTGCATTAATGTTGCCGTTGTTGGCGATGCATTAATTAATTTTTAACCAATTATTTTATTAATTAATTAATCATTTAATTAATTAAGTAAAGTTAATTTTTAACGTAGGGCTTGATGGGCTTGTTGACATTAGAGAAGTTGGTAGCGATGAGAGATGATTTGGTGTTCTTAGAAGAGCCACTCAACTGCAAACTTTTGTCATTGGACCGACGGAAGAGAGTTCTGATCTGTGTTCGAACCTGCTGATTGCGAACGCAGTGGAAGAGAAATATGAAGAGACCCTGCATGCTCGTGAAGACCACGAAGACTACCTAGCGATTGATTGGGTCACAAAATTTAGATCAATGAAAAAATGTTACCGTAGATTTTATATAATTTTTTACAATTAAAAATTTAGCGAAAAATGTTTAAGCTTTTAAAATACAAATAATAATTTGATATTATTTTGGCTACAACACAAAAATATAAATAAAACAAGAAAAGACAAAAAATGAGAGTTTCATATCATAAACCGAATTGATAGAATTTACATTTTATATTAGTAAAATGTAAATTTACTAGTAAAATGTAAATTTACTAGTAAAATGTAAATTTACTAGTAAAATGTAAATTTACATGTAAAATGTACATTTTAGTGAACATTTTCGGTATTCAATGAAACTGGAAATCGAATTAATTCGAACATAACACTGAACAGATGAAATGTACATCTGCAACAACAATAACAGCAAAAGCAACAACAACAACAAGACATACCCTAACAATTCCTTGGAACATGAGCAGGTTTCCATCTTGTTGGTTGTTCTTGATGACACCGAACGCACTGAAGAGCCAGGGCACTCCCAACAGCACCAACAACGTGAAGGCGCCCACCAGACGAGATTTCAAATTCTTCTTCTCCAGGTCTGATAATAAACCCATGCAAAATTATTAAAAAAGTTTTTAATTTAATCTAAATACGTTACAACAAAAAAACTTAAATAGTTAGAGATAAAAAAACGAAAAAATTACTTGCATATAACTTTCACAAATACTAACAAATTGAATACTTTAATTAACAACATAAGAGCTAGCAAATTTAGAAATATTTCACTATAAATATACGAGGATGAACTGCTCGCATTGAACTTTGCACCTTTGCCCTGGTTCGGATCGTTCTTCCAGATGATTCTAAGAACCATGGCGAAGACGATGCTGTTGTGGCTGATGATAATGACCATGGGAATCAGCCATGCAAAGTATAATGTCCTATCCTTTAAGGCGCACCTGAGTGTGCAGCAATGCGACAAGTTCGTCGTCGGTGACGGTTTTGTTTCGGTTGTAATTTAATGGAAAGTTTTATAACAGTAAAATCGAAAATTGTTTCAATTTTTTTAATATTTAATTTTCATTGCGTTGCATATCGGTTGCGTTGTCATCATTCTCAGAATATTGTCTACAGAATATTTTAGTATAATTATGATTGTGATTATACTGGATCAAATACTCCATCAAATTTCAAACTTGACTAAATACCAACTTGAACATGCAACGGTTGTACGTGCCATCAAATGCCTTCCTATCCACCAAAAGAATCACAATGACCAAGAGCAGTGGAATGCCTGAGTTCAGTTTATGTTTATCGTCATCATCGTCATCATAGTCGCCATTATCACTGCTGTTATTGTCGTCGTCATAACCATCATCACCATCATCCTCACCACCATTCTCTTCAAAGTAGACACAGAATTGCCGTGCTCCTCGTCGTTTTATTGCAGACTGACCAGGTTCGAATACCCGTTGTGTTCATCTGCCGGTTCAACTGCGACTGGAAGATTACAATAAGTCACATGCACATGAAACAATGCGGTGCTCAGCGTACATACAAACGTGTCTGTACAATGCACAGTGTACACATTTCATGGCGCAAAAGTTTAAGTGCAAGTAAGCAAGGATCCACTTTTGAGCAGCAATAAGTTCGCCAGCTGCATAATAAAAAGCAACCATCACCAGTGGTCGTATTTTGTGGGAGGCCAAAGCTTTTGTTTTTTTTTTTATTATTTTCGAATTGACAAAATAATCAAATCAATGTACATTGTACATATTTTACTTTTGTTGCTGAAAATTCAATAAACAATCAACAAAATACAGAAAGTTGTTGCTAAATTTTTGCGAGTGGTTTTTTTAAATTTTCTCCTAAATTAAAAACTATTGGGGAGAAGGGTGGAAGGCATCAGCCCATCAGTTCAATCTCAGTGGTGGTCATTGTTATTATTTAATTTTGACGTACCCCAGGCGAGGAGGGCAGCGATGCGAATGAAGAATCTGACGTGTTTGTGGAAGACCTTGACGAGCATGCGGTGCATGTTGTAGGCCTCCACACCGTTCCACATCAGTGTCACCAGGGCCAGGTAGTATCTGATGGTGATGTTGATAGTGATGATAAAAGTGATGATCACAATAATGATGATGATGATGATGATGATGGTGGTGGTGACGATGGTGGAGATGATAAAAGTGATGATGCCGATGATGATAATACCATTAATAGAATGATTGATTCTTCAGATTTTAAAACTAACTAAGCAAAATCAAAAAGCATAGAAACCTGAGGAGATTATAAATCTTGCACTCCTTCCTTATGTGAGACCTGTTCTCAGCCACGTAGAGCATGAGCATGAAGCTGATGAGTGCCATGCAGAGGTTCAAGAGAATCTGCGTCGCTGCTCCTTTCCTCGCCTTCCTTCGTCGCGTCACGTTACGTTGAAAATTATTTTCTCAATGTTAGAAACGTTTTTGTAAATTTTAAATTTTATTCACGGAGTAGGTAGGCGAACTTATTTAATAATTGAAATGTAAAAATCTGCATAAATTTTATAACTTATTCGGCAGAATTTCTATGTTGGAGCGTTTTAAAAATTGGCCGTGACAATCATCGTAACGACCAGAAATGAAACATATGAATGAAATGCCGACCTGATGATGGAGAAAGTGAGAACCGTGATTACAAGGGCTGCCAGGGAGACCGACCTCAAAATCATGTCTGCCAGGTGCAACTCCGATGAATACGGAAAACCCTAGTACAGTTCATTCAATCATCACTAACAACTTCAATAACATTCGTCATACGTTTTTGAGTTAATAATTTTTTCAATTATAAGCAAATATTTAACAAAATTAAACTTTAATATATAAAATTAGTTGACGGACGAATAGCTGAACTAACGTAGAATGAAGCGAGGTCAGTGATGGGAGGTTGAACCGGAGGTCGAATGGTCATCTCCGGATCTGGCTGAAATGTGGGTGAACAAATTGTAAGTCACATCATTAATAAATAATTTTACTGCATTTTATATTCAACAAAATATTATTTCAATTGATTTACGTAAGATTATAGGTATCTATCTAGTTGCAGTCGTTTCTGTGTCAAATATGTTATATGAGGGCATACATTAGTGCCAACTGTTTTATTAATACTTTTGCTTAAAAAGTATCGCTATTCACTAAAATTTTATATTTACTTAAAATTCGCGCAACCGACAGTGATACTAGTACTTCATTATATTTTTTTTATGCCCACACATGACCACAATTACTTTTCACGACGGTGTAATCTAAAATTGTAAGCTAAAAATCTCTACATCCATACCAAGTGCAATAAGTGCAAAGAAGCATAAGACGAATTTGTTCAGACAGCAACGCGTGACAATGCAAGGTAGTCTCCGAAAAATATTTAAAATAAATTCTTGACATATACTGGTTTTGACATTACATAATTTTATATTAATGATAATAAAAATTATCATTAGAGTGAAAAGGGACACCTTGGTTATAACGAAGACTCCGATATATCCGCCATTTTGGCAGTGACATGTGACGTCATTTTTTAATTTATTCATTTCCGTTCTACAATCGAATACCCAGCCATCCTTGAATTTTAATGTATCATCGTTAGTTACCGTACCAATACCACTATTATTATTATTATTATTATTATTACTACTACTACTACTACTACTACTACTACTACTACTACTACTACTACTACTACTACTACTACTACTACTACTACTACTACTACTACTACTACTACTATTACTACAACAACAACAACTACTACTACTACTATTCAACCATTTTCCACCAAAATCATCCCCACGATTATAACTGAAACCACCAATACTTCATCTTTTCCAGTACTAAAAAGTTAACAAAATTGAAAAAATTTACATGAACTTGGAACTTCACATCTGTTAGATGTTCATTCCTCCCTCCATTCGATGACAGGTAGCGCCCACAATAAGAACTTTCGGAAGTGGTTTCCTATAATAAATTATTAAACTTTAAAAAAAATAAGTAATTAATTTAGATAATTTATAATAAAGTTCGTTAATTTTCAAGTCAAATAATATAGATCGTGCAGTGGATTCGCTCATCATGGAAATTTTTCATAGCAATTGAACTAGAGTACGTATAAGGTGAAGCTGGAAGCCTTTGTGTCATAACCACCCACAATTCATATTCCAAACTTATCTAGAGATTCTATACTTAAAATTTAATAAAAATGTTATGTTAATGCTGATCTTTATTTGGTTAAGTATGAAAAATGCAACAGGGCAATTTTATTTTAAAATTCTATGGTGGCCACTCCAAAGATAAATTGGTTACAGAATTAAATACACTTTTCCTATTCAGTTTAAATAAACATGTTTCAAATTTATGTCACCAAGACTTACTTTTTTGATTAATTCGCTTTTAAAATTAATTTCAATATTCGTTGTTTCTGGTGCGCCATTTTCTCCATAGGTGACAACGTCAACAAATAAGAGCGGACTGATTATGTGCAATCCGATTGTTTGAGATTCCGTCCTGTTCAGAAAGGAAAATTTCAATCACGTTACTTTATAAGCACTATGTGGTTATATAGGTACCGTTTTCATCTGACATGATGTGCTGGTTTGAAGATATTATTAATAAATTTATATCGTATTAAAATTGTATTCGAATTATACACAAATTTTGCCTCGGTGGTAAAATTCGAAATCGTACAAATTTTCCGCATTAAGTCAAATCAATCAATCAACTAGCGCTATTTCCGCGATGTCCAACAGCGCTCCTCAATGAATTTTGCAAATAAATGGGTCTTGAGATACGCTCTGAACTTCGTAAGTGATGGAGAAGTAGTCAGAGAAGTAGGTAGAGAGTTCCAGAAAAAAGGGCCAGAAAAAGTAAATGCCGATTTAGCAAAAGAGTGTTTAACACGAGTTAGGAAGAAGTGAGAACTAGAAGACGATCGTGAATCGGGGCGTTTAGGTTCAATTAATATATCTGATAAATACTTAAAAAATAATTTAGATTGAGACTTATACATAATTCTAAAAATTATTCTATATTTTATAGATAGATAGGTAACCAGTGCAAGAGAACAAGATATGGAGATATATGAAAAAAGAAAGGAGCACGAGCAACTAGACGAGCAGCAGAGTATAGAATCAGGAAGATTACAATAATCAATCCTAGATAAGACTAACGAAGTAACAAGAAGGAGAAGAGTAGGATCATCAAGAATAGTCAAAAGTTTTTTTTATTCTACGTAGATGAAAGTAAGAATTTCTAGCAACACTATTAATCTGAGAAGAAAGAGACATACTAGAATCAAAGATAAAGCCTAGACTACAAAATTTGTGAGAAACATCAAGAGTTTTAGAATCAGGTAAGATAATAGGAGGAGGAATAGTAATAGAGTGTTTTGATTTCCTAAAGCAAATTAATTCAAATTTGGAAGGATTAAGTTTAAGACACATAGAGTCAGACCAAGCGATAATTGAAGAAAGACATAGAGATAGATTATAGAACTCTATTGAAGAAGTATAAATATAAGAATCATCAGCATATAGTTGACTAGTGAAACAGAAACTTTTTGATCGTTGGTCTACATTGGGCTAACGAAAGTGCATCAAATCATCTTTCGTTAGATAAACTTCATGCGTTGAATTTTTATAGTAAACAAATTTAATTATCGGCAGTGTAGCATTGACAACAAAAAGACAAAAAGTTTATTTTTGTGCGAAGCTTGGAGGTTATTTTTGAAAAGAAAAAAAGAAAAATGTTTTTTGATGGAGCACCACTTACTAAAAAACATTTTTGTATAAAATAATTATATTAGTTTTCTTCTAATGGAAACGTTGCATCAGTCATAAAAACAGAATGTGGAAGGCGAAAAGTAGTGGACAAATAAAATGAATGCCGTAAAATAAAAATGAATGTTTAAAAATTTTGGACCTAAAAATTTCGCAGCATTTTGTCAATTTTACTCGTACCTTACCATTCCAAAACAAAGAAGTGTCATGTCTCAAAAATCATTTCGGAAAAAGTTGACCAGTTTGAAAACTGTCCACATGTATATGTGAAGTGTTCATGATGAAGTGCAGTACTTACTCAGGCAAGTGTTTGTGTAATTTCAGAACGTAATACAACAAGTGCTTTGCTGAAAAACAATTTTGTAAAAGTTGGATAAATGTTTCTATAGTTATCATATCCTTGTTAATTAAATGTGAATGCAAATCAGTTGCGATAAATGAAGAGTTTGTTTTTTATTCGTTGAATAACCGCTCAACTTATTTGCAACATAGCCAAATAACGTACATAAATGTGCCTATCACATTATTAATTTCTTTTACTATTTGCTCATTCGATGTCGAAATTATGGCGGAAAGTAATAGTTGGCTGATTTTTGAAAGACGGATGCCGATTTAAACATTAACTCAAACATGCACATAAAACTAAGTACCAGGTGCTGGAGCTAATTTTCGGATTGATCTTAAACGGCATACAAATCCCACTAACGTGTTTAGCATTTGAGATAATAGTTTGTGCAGTTTAACACTTTACTCTGACGTTAACGACGCGTGACAACGACATTATTCATTTTATACATTGAAATTTAATTTAAAATTGAATTCACCTTTTAGGGCCATTCGAATTTCTTGCAGTGTCCGTGTTATGCTTATTATTGTTATTTTTGCTGTTATTATTATTATTACCGTTGTTTATATTATTGTTGTTGTTGTTATTATTAGTGTTTTTGTTATTATTATTATTATTATTATTGTTAATATTATTATTATTGATGTTGTAACTTTTAAGATTGTTAATATTCTTGTTACTATTTTTACCTTCATTGGAATTTATGTATTCTGATGCCATAAAGTTAGGAGCCAGAGTTGACGTTAGAGTAAGCAAGGATGATGAGAAGGACGGTGACGACGAGAGTGGCGAATGTGGTGGCGATGACGGCGATGACATGGATAATGTGTGTAACGCATGTGTCCTTGGAAGCGCGACGGCCGATGCTGGTCTGGTTATTGGATGCAAGGGCTGGGACGGTGGCGATTTTCTTTTGACAATGGCTGGTCTGAATAATAGCAAAAATGATACAAGTGGATTTAAAGATGATCGTGATGACGTTGGAATTGTTGACGTCACGTTGCTGTAATGAATCATTTTGTCTCTGTTTACGTACACACTCCAATTACCAATTTCCTGTTTACTTTTGTCATCATCATCATCAACTTCCGCAAGGAACCCTTCCACGCGATACGTTTTCGTTAACGGCATTTCCGGTTCTAGCACATTCGTTATTTTCTGTTTTGAACCATTAAACGACATACTGTTGAGATATTCGTAATGAGTGACCTTATCCGTTATATTCATTTTTTCAAAGTGAACGAATAATATTGATCTTATTTTACTGACTGTTTCAGCTCCTGCAATTTTTTGATTTGATTAGAAGCATTCATTCTCAAAATAACATGAAAAAATGGTTTTAAAAAGCAATAAAATGCTATTTTAGTGTCTCCAAAAGTGCCATTTCAATAAAAAAAAACAAATGGGTCATTTAAATAAAACAAGAAAATATTTAACTCGTCGAACGCAAACCAAGAGAAAAAATGAAAAATTGAAAAGACAGTAGAGACAATGTGGAGAACAAAAGTAGTATTAAAAACCTCTGATGAATATTTCGAAATGTAGTATTATTACTGTTAATAACGAGCGTAACATTGGGGCAATAAAGAAGTGCAACGTCAGAGCGCTAATGTAAACAAATGATGGAAAAAATTCTTCGTTATTTCTGTTGGCATGTTTGGCCGGTTGATATGCATTTAGAACTGTTGGACTGTCGGCTCTTTTCATTGCATACTGAGCAGTACATTAATGAAATTATTGAACCAACCACAACAATAGCAGCAGTAACAACTACAATAACCACAACAACAATGGGAAGATACGCTCCTTGGTTCAATTTTTGTAGAATCAACAACAGCAGTTAGTAACAAATGGTTTAAAGGGGTTTTTTCATAATTATATAACAATTTCGAAACTATTCAAGAGTTATAATTTATAATTATTGCAATTTTTCCATTATAAAGTATAAAGGCAACAATCATATTAAAAGTAAATATAATATATTAAAATTTCAATAATTTTAAATAAAATTGTAATTAAATGCGAAAATTGATCTTAAAAGCATTCGCTCAAAAAATATTTAAAAAATTTATATTAACAACCTCCAACTTTTTCAATCTTCAATGTAACTGATTTGCCGTGAGAACATTTGAAATAGTGCGATATGCGTTTTGCTTTGGAGTGCTTATATAACAATTGAATGTTCTGTCCTGGAAAGTAGTCTGTGTGTTCCACATTTTGATGCTGGTGTTGTTGTTGCGTGTTACTGGGATAAAGTGTGTTGTTCGAGTGTTGTTGTTGGTGTGGCTTTAGATGATGTTGTTGACTATTTTGTTGATTTAGCTTCAGTTGGCGATGTACTTGATGTTGTTGATGATGTTGTTGATGTTGTTGTTGTTGATCTCTATTGTAATGCCGATGCAATTTGTTTAGTTGCTTGTTGGCCTGACTTTGTAGCTTGTTGTTGTTGTCGTCGTCGTTTGGCATTTGATGCAAGTATGGAGTTTTATGCAAGATCTTATTGCTATCGAAGCTTATATCAGTCTCATCACTGTTGTCTTCGTCGATGTTGCTTGTGTTGTAACGATCGATGCTTTCATTGTCATTTGTAATTTCATTATTATTATTATTATTATTATTATTACTAATTATATTATAATTATTGTTGTTGTTGTTATTATTAATATAATTAGGTGACTGCACTATCGTTTTCAATCTCATAATTGACAAGAGGGGCTCCAAATGTAACTTTGCCAAACTGTTGAGGGTTGCATTAAATGAAATAAATTGTGTAAATAAATGTGTGTATGTGTGTTGAAAACTGTACAACTTTTTCAATTTTCCAATAAGAAAGAGATATATGAAAGACTGATGAAGGGCCGATATCGTCTGGTGCTGGTAAATAGAAGCTCATAAAAAGTTTATTGAGCACTATCAGGAAATAATTTTTAATTATCAACTATAAAAGTAAGCACTGTCCTTGTCACGCACGTCAATTAATTATTACTTAATTACTTAATCGATGCATGGATTGCTAAAACATCATTTGTATTCATTAAGCAACAGTAGCTTGCATATCAATCAATTGAAAAAACCACATTGCTATACTGTCAATAGAGCAATGTTATGTACTCTGTTACCAGTAGCATTTCATGGAGATCTTTCTCCTACGATATAAATCATCAAAACATATCGATATATGATTATACATTATACTAATATGAACGCTACATTGAAACTACACAGACATTGCGTGGTTGGGTGCTAAGCAGTTTTTCATTCTTTTGTTATCCGATGCCATATAAACTAAGAGACAATATTTATTTTTATTTCTGCGTAATATTTTGACGTCATGTTTGATTGAATATAGGCGATAAATTAATTAAGATTAATTTATTAATAAATTTTTAATCCATTGAACTATCATCGTAATATTATTTTGTTCAACATCTAACTAACTTCAAAAGTTCGCTGGGTTGGAAATTCCAATAATTTTGAAATTTCAAATTGAAGGCAGTATCAAGCAGGCTGAGTGACGTCATGTAGATGTCGCTTACGTCATCAGATTGCGTGGCATCTCGAAATACCTGGTTGTATAAGCAGCTGAAACCTAAATGTGGATACGTGCAAACCTTATGTTATGTTTTATACTATTATGTTTTTATTATTTACATATTTAGTTTTTAATTGCGCGGCTTTTCTGTAAAATAATTAAAGATACTGCCCATAAATTTGGTGGGAAGTTTATCTTATTTTAAACTTCAGCTAATTCCAATCAAATATTTTTATGGATTGTGTTATGAAGTTTGCTGCAACATGGTGGGGATCTGATTGGCGAGTTTGTTTGTTGTTTGTTTGTTTGTGGTTGGAGGAGTCCAAGAGTTGATTATTACATGGGCGATTTTTGGTTGAAACCGAGCTATCCCATCAAAAACTAATTTCTTGACTTTGACTTTGAATGAATTGGTCCAAACGTGATGGCATTTGTAACGCATTGTGATTCAGTGTGCGCGCTTAAGACGGCTGCTATTAGTCTCTCTTTTCAGTTTTTGAATGAGAAATTTTTTTCATACTTTGAAACAGAAAATAAATTAGTTTTATGCTGGTTTTCAGTCATTCATTATCAAATAAATAATTAAATAAATAAATTTTCATGTACGTATAAAATGTCGCGATAGAATAATTAAATATAACGAAAGAAAATCATTATTAAATAATTAAGTAATTTTACATCTTTTTACAAAAAGTTAATTAAAACATGGTAAATAATTTTGATCTTGCTTAAAAAATCCAAAAAAACGTACAATTTAAAAGTACATTGAGTGTTTTTTTTTATCAAATTCTCTTTTATTCATAATTCTATTTTATATTTATAAATTTGTTAACATTTTTTAATAATAAAAAAAAATAATTGTAAAGTTTTTCATGAAAGAAAAAAGTAATACAAAGCTCACTGGCAAGTCAGCCTCTCAAATGTTGATGTACTTAAGAAATGAATAAATATTTTAGGAAAGTTGAAATAACAACCTCCTTCATTATGACGTCACTCATAATTTTATTTCCATATATAAACGCAATTTTAATTCAAAATTTTAATTTAGCTTTCTTCATTAGCTGTCATCTGAATTTGCTCGTTTGATGTGACGCGCAATGTTAATTAGCAATGTCCAACAATGGCGTATTAATGCAGAAAAACACAAAAATTCATCTCCAACAGTTGGATGATATATTTTTTATGCTATTTAAGTTTGTTTCATCTGTCATTTTGTGAATTTTCGTGAATCAGTCGTTCTATTTTGGATGTGCGTATCTGTTTGATGTGCAGGCAACCAACATTTCATTATTCACTTCCACGTCTAACTTAACACTTGAAATTTTAGAATTATACCGCTGACTCAACGAAAATCAAAAATTTTACGTATTTTTATAGCTTATTCACTCAACCATTTAACCGTCCAACTCTACGTACATCCATCTATTTGAGCTTCAAACACCCATCTATTCATTTAACTAACTATCCAACTATCAATCCAATCACTCCCAACCATCCATCTGTCTATATTTTATCCAACCATCCATTTTGACATTTGTCTACATGTCAAAACCATTAAATCAACTTCTCATTCATTTATCCATCTACCCATTCCATTCATCCTATTATCCATCCATCCATCCATCTATCTATCAGACCTTCTTCCATGAGCAGTGCAGTGTAAAAGGATAGAATTTCATTGGAGATGACGTCATCAGTGTACTCGTCCTCGATGTCTCGCAAGCTCCTTAGGTAGTTCAGCGTGACGTCACATGGAGTTTTATTCATGTGGTACTATAATGTGTGGTGTATTGTATAGTACTCAAGTATGTCATATAGTAATGTCGAGTGTCGTGTCGCCTGTCGTCGTGTGGTACTGTCGTGCGTCGAGACGTACAGTTGCATGTGGTGTGGTGTGGTCGCATGTCGTGTGGTACTGTCGCTTGTCGGTTGTGTAGAACGATCCATGTATACAATGTTAGCCCTTTTATTGATTTTGCTATTTTGAATTATTTATCGCTACTTTTTTATCATGTAACGCGTGTAATGTTATTGTTTAATGTTTAGTCTGTAATATTCAAATGAATTAAATGTTGGCACTTATTACATTGTTTTTCATTACTGTCAGTTTCATACAGAAATTCCTATATCCAAAAAAGTTGCAAAGTTCAAAGAATTAACGACAATCGTAAACTTACGTGCGAGTGATGGGACATCAGCTGTTGTGAAATAACGTGTGATCGAGATTTATTGGGAATATGAAAATGTTTTGAAAAAGTAATTAGCGCTACATTAAAAGAATGTTTAATTTTTTGCACACCGTTGCAAGCAAAAAAAAATTTAAAAGTTTGAAAATTATGAATGAGAATTTGAAGTAAACGCAAACATGGCAAAAGAGTTTTGAGAAAATTTCTTTCAGTTGAGGTGGTGAAAAGTGACAACTATCATGCTAAAACTCAATTGACGGGTGACTTCGTAAAAATGTTTTACTAAAATACATCGAGTAGTTCCTTCTTCCGAATGTCATACTTTGACAAACAAGTGGTGAAAACTGATGTGCATTTACGCTGCTTACGTAGGCTGCGATGTGTACGCAATCATTATTACACAGAATGTTAAATAATTAACTGAATGAAACAATATGTTTACCAGTTTCGCGTTTATCTCAATTATCTCGCACGAAATTAAAAATTAACTATCATGTCAACATTGAATTCAGTAAAAATGATTTTTCTCCAAGGCATATAAAACAACATTATGCACGTCTGTTGGATTGTGCAAATGCTTGTCGACGAGTTGGCAGTTTTAATTTAGTTTACTGCAATAAAAACGGTGCGCCATGCGATGCAATAAATACAATCAAATAATTTTAAACAATTTTTCCTTCTGACAAAAATATTTACCACGAGTTAAGCCATATTACGGCTCGCCTATGCAAACATCGGAACAAGTCGTATGCCGTTAGATCGCATAAATTTGAAATGAAAACATTCCAGTGTCTTAAGCAGGGCATCGAACCGTAATTTTTTTTCGTTTCGGTTTACGGTTTCGTTCAATTAGCAAAACGAATTTCGGTTCGGTTCCGGTTTTTGTTCCTGAAATAATATCGTTTTTTTTTTGGTTTTCGGTTTCGCTCCGAAACTTAATTTTTTCAAGCATAATTTCTTAAACGCATGTAACGGACATACGGACATCTAACTATCACCACAATGCAAATTTGAATTAAATTTTAGATTGTGAATAATAAGAAATCAATAACAAAATGTTTTTTAAATGTTGTCAGTATAAAAGGAAACGTTTCTAATATTTTTTCAACAAATTAATACAATCATTACAAAGATATTTTGAAATCACTCATATAAAGATAAAAATTTCCTCTGATTATTAATATATCTTCTAAAATGTTTTCATTGAAACCACTTCTGCAGTCTCTGAGTATTAATTTTAATCTACAAACAGATGCTTCCAGGCGCACTTGTGTAGCTGATACTTCAAAATTTTGAAGATGATCGCACTTGATCTCTAATTTCTCCGATTATACTGGATTTCTCTTCACGTGGCAATTCTTACTCAAATTATCGGCGAACTCGGTTGGAAAAACAAGTGAAAAGAGAGATAATAAATTTTCAAAGATAATAAAAATTATCATAAAATTTCAAAAAACGAAATATTATCTAAATATTTTTTTTTCTGAATTTGACAAAAATATTTTCTTTTAAAATTTTAGCATCGAACCGTTATTTATTTTGTTACGGTTTTCGGTTAAACTAGCAAACAATATTTCGGTTCGGTTACGGTTTTTGTTCCGAGCAAAATTTCAGTTTTTAACGGTTTTCGGTGACTGTTCAGTTCCGGTTCGATGCCCTGGTCTTAAGTCAGTGTGTGCTCTCTTCAAAAAAGCAGGCCTTTGATAACATTGTATGAATCAACAGCAATCCTCTTGCCAACTTTATCATTATTGTTACTCTTATTTTTTCTTTTTTAGTCCTTTTCTGTTCTGTCCTCACTTACTTACATCAACACCATCACTATAGATACCACATTCATAGTCATTTTCATTCTTATTGTCATCCTTAACCCAGTCAACATTTCAAAGATTTGATCATCAAAACAATCGCGCAAATATTTTTCATCACCACAACGTATTTCACCATAAGCATAGTTCTAACCATTCTGGACTCCTTGATGATGTCCACCTGTACTTGGAACGGGGGTCCAGGGCATGCCCCGTCATTGAAGTTCACCCATCTTGAGACAATCTGACTCTTGTTAGTTTCATTCAAATCGTTGACATAATACATCATGCAGTCCTGGAAGATGTTGTAATCATCATCGTCCTCGTCTTTTGTGTCGTTCATCAGGTAGCTGTTGTAGTTGTTGCCATCATCGACGTCGTAATTTTTGTTCAGGATGAATCCGTTCAAGTAGTTAGCATGATATCGGTAGCTGTTGTAGTTGTTTTTGTTGTTATTGTTGTAGTTATTGTTTCTGCCTAATTTTCGACTCTTGCTATTTATCACATTCTGCTTGTCAGCTTTGACGTACTTCAAGTTGCCAGGGAAATATTTAACCACTTTATTGACGTAGTGGTATTTGCACTTTTGTACATGTCGGTCACCTGCTTGGAAAAAACTTATCTGATTTTTATGTAGTTATAAAGAGGAGTGGAAATTGGTCGTGTAGCCAGAATTTTTTAAGGGATGGCTGGCTCGGAATTTGAAATTTTTTGCTCATTTTACATATTTTTTTTAGCTATTTTTCATAAATAAAATTAGTATTCTTTCTAAAAAAATTTGACCAGATTAACAATTTGGCATTAAATTAAATATTTATCAATTTAAACGTAGAATTATCTATAAATAATTTTTGAGTTTAAACACTTAACTCTAATAAAACTATTTTGGAAGCTGCTACCCTAAACCTTTTTTGGCTACACCTCCGATATAAAAAAAATATATTATTTATGATATAATTTGAAATAATTTAATATAATTTTTCAAATAGTTCTATTTTATTATATATCTATTTGATATATTATAACAAATAATTATTATTATTATATTACAACAAATACAGTTTTTTATATAAATCTTGTTTTCAAATAATTGTTTCAGAATTAAATAATGATTGACCTATTGTTATCTTCGGCCAGTAGTGTTCACCCTTCAGACCACCATCTGTTGTTACGGCCCCGCACTGATCTGATTGTTATTATGACGAAACAACAACTACGGTAACTAATTAGAATATCAAATGACATCACAGTTATTAACGTGAAAAGTTAGAAAAGTTATTGAAATTTAATGATATTGAAATTACTTCAGTCCTGAACTGTTCGATCAATTTCCAATCAATCAATCAATCAATCAATCAATCAATCAATCTATCAATCAATCAATCAATCAATCAATCAATCAATCAATCAATCAATCAATCAATCAATCAATCAATCAATCAATCAATCAATCAATCAATCAATCAATCAATCAATCAATCAATCAATCAATTTATCATAACATAGAGTAAACAGAAAATAATCAGACGCAGTAGTCGTACCTCATATCACCGTCATCTTTACATCATACCTACAACACCATCTTACGTCATCATTAGATCATCTTTACACATCAGCAACTCACTATACCAGCTAAACAGTAAAAAACATCACGTACACGTCATCATCTCCACATTATCGTGGTATGATCTTAAGATCATCTCCACATCATCCTCACATCCGGTCCACATCATCCTTACATCATCTCCACATCATCTCCACATCATCTCCACATCATTCTCACATCCGGTCCATGTCATCCTCACATCATCTCCACATCATTCTCACATCCGGTCCACGTCATCTCTCCGTCATATCATCCCCTCCCAAGGGACTGACCCTTTCTGCATTCGTCCGGCATATCCTCATAGTGATCCAACCACTGGACAATCTCTTCGGAGTACGAAGTGTTCAGCTCCACAAATTTTAAATCCACGTTACATGACGTTTCATCTTTTTCACATTTGGCCACAAAATTTTGGAAGGAATTCCGATCGATGGTCGGTAGAGATGGTTGCAGGCCTCGGATGACGAAAAATAGGATGAGATGTGCGTGCACGTTTTGACGAATTTTACTGAATTTCAACATCGTCTATGTTTCTTTATTTTTTAATAAATTCACATCAATAATACCTAAATATTTTTTCAACTTAAATTTAAACTTAAAAGTTTATCACAATTTAGTTCAAGTGACATTGACGGTTGGACGCTGAGGACTGTGTTCTGCTTATATACATGTGTTTGTAAGCCAGCCAGCCATCCATCATTTAGGACGTAGAATTATTCACGAATAAAATAAGAATAAAATGATATTTGTTGCTTATTTTATTAAATTCCAAATTAGTATTACTGTTGTTAATATTATATATTTTTAATTATTACGTTAAAATCCATCATTATATGAAATTATTTATAACAATATTAATTGAAATAGGCTTGCATAAAATTGCAGAGGTTTATATGGATGCGCGTATATGCGGAAATCAGACTGATGCATGTGTTAGGACTGGATAGAAACAAGCAGTAGGTAGGCAAACACGTTGATGCACTGCAACTGTGCCTGTGTTGCATATGTTATGTCGGATCGAGTAGGGTACGTTAACAGAGTAACAGTTTTGAGATTACACACTAGAGATTCATGTGCTGTTGATTTGACTCTAAATAAAATTAATAACATGCAACTAAATTAGATGGTAAATTTCTATGTAAAAGTCATTCTATAAAATGAAAAATTAAATGTCACTATGCAATTTATTAATAGAGTAGATAAATGCGTGCGCGCATATATACAAACATGCACATCAGATGTAACTATAAGCGCTTACATGATTTCCGAAACATATTCACCTGGTCCAATCAAACACGAGAAAAAAACTTGTGGAAAATGATAGCAAGTAAATTGGCAATTTGTAATGCATTATACATGTCATTGAATGCATTAGGGCTGCGGAACCTTGGAGAGTATATCCGTAGAGTGTACTGGAATGTTAGTCATAGTTCTTTTTGTCTCATTGCATTACGTGCATTTTTAAATAATGATTTCAGTGCATGTCATTAGCTGGAATGAATGTATAGTGTTTTGGTAATTAAATGTTATGTGGTTTTATAACAGAACATTGTTCAGTTGCTTTCTGTTTGCACATAAAAACATTACAAAAGTACAGCGATTTATCTTCATTTATTTGACTCGCAGGTGTTTGTTTGAAATTTAAAAAAAAATTCTACCTTTATAACATTTTAAAATTTATAATCATGTACCGCTTGTTGTACACAATCTATTCTCACACGTCAACATAGGACATCCTACCATAGCCATTGAAAATTATTAAAATCTTCATTACTAATCCACAATTTAGAAGTTAATTATTTTAAATTGAGTAGACGTCCGCTTGCGTGCAATTTTTACAGATGAGAATGTTCTCCAAAAAACTGTGGATTCGACGAGAACTATCTAATCAAACTAAATCGTTTTTTTTAAATTTCTCGCACTTCTGAAACTAGTAACTGTGATAGTTGTAAGTTTTTCGAATGTTCGCCGAGCTTTTAAACATATTTGATAATGTTTTACATATTACTTTTATTTAGAAGTTCTTGATGATTTTATATTTTCGTCTTTATACAACGTAAGGAATTGTTTGATCAATAAAGGTTCATGAAGTTTGTTTCAGCGATTGTTATGTGCTAAATAAATTCACGCCCATTTTTAATCACAACCCGATTAATAAAAATTATCATAAATATCTAAAATCTCGGATATTGACTCTGCTATCTTGTCTGCAGTTCAAAAGTTTGAAATTTTACAATTTTTCAGCAAACTTATGATTTAAAACATTTTTAATATTGTTGAAAATTTTTTTTAGGAGACTGTTTCCAAGTGTCTCCACTCCAGTTCTCCAGTCACTCACTTCTTGTCTTTTTCCTTCTGCTGTTTCTCCCCGTTGAATTGAAATTAAATAATATTAAAGGAAAGATTGAGGATTGACTGACAATAAAGAAGAAATTTATTATTCTGATTTGAAAGTTTCAACAGGTGGCCATACAAAATTCAAAATGACTGACTCCAAATATTTCACCAACAATAAAAAAGGTTGTAAGATTTTTGACAAAAATTTGAGTTAATAATCAAAGTGTACCTAATATTTTTTTTAATTAGAAAATGTAAAACTAATAATAGTAACTGACATATTATATTGACATTATTAAAATATAGATGTAATTCTACTAAAACTAATAAAATATAAAACATGAAAATGTTTTATATTTTATTAAAAGTAGTAATTTTTTTAATTAATTTTATTTACATTACACATGTTAAATATATAAATAATTCTTTCAAAATTTGTTTTCTCTGTAACTATAAATGCTACAACAATAAATTTTGTATTATTTTAATTAGCAAATACTGCTTTATAAGAAAAAATAGTTTATATACAAAAAAATTTTCAAAAACCGTGCAACTTACTAGTTTTTTTACTTACACTGACATTGTTCCTTTTTTAATTTTAATTAAACTGAAGTTTCATTTGTCAAGTTGTTATTTTGATTCTATTCCTTTAGGAGAAATATTTGAATTAAAAAATGAGCTGAACAGTGACAAGAAGGAAAGAAAGAAGGAGGCAGTGAAGAAAGTTATAGCCAGTATGACTGTTGGCAAAGATGTCAGGTTGACTGCCCTTTTAAATCTTATAATGTATAACTTTAATTTTTAACACATATAAATAAATATAATGTTTAATCTTATGTAATTGTTTATAAAATAATTTTGCATATAAAAATCTTATTAGTTAATTTATTTTGAAATATAAATTAATTTGTTAACATGTATTGCTGCAACACTGACTACTAAGATCAAATTTTTGGATTTAAATTTTGTTCCACTGCCAGTGCTCTCTTTCCAGATGTTATCAACTGCATGCAGACAGACAACTTGGAGTTGAAGAAACTTGTCTATTTGTACCTCATGAACTATGCCAAGAGTCAGCCAGATATGGCAATTATGGCTGTCAACACATTTGTGAAGGTGATTGTCCTTTTGATTAATTAAAGAAATTATTATAATGAAATAGTTATAATTTGTGGTCTGGTTGATATTATTATTTAGGATGAGTATTTTGTGGACAGGGTATTAGTGTTTTAACAATTTTCAGATATTGAACCCCTTGTTGGAAACAAACAAAATCTCAAACCCACCACCACCACACCAACACATTCACAAGACAGGGTATTAGTATTTTAACAATTTTTAGAAATTGAATCCCCCGGTAGAAACAAACAAAATCTCAAACCCACCACCACCGCACCACCATACACACACAGGATTGTGATGACAGCAATCCGTTGATCAGGGCACTGGCAGTCAGGACAATGGGCTGCATCAGAGTTGATAAGATAACAGAGTACATGTGCGAGCCTCTACGCAAGTGTCTCAAAGATGAGGATCCTTATGTTAGGAAGACAGCTGCAGTTAGCGTGGCCAAGCTGTACGACATCAATGCTCAACTCGTTGAAGACCAAGGGTTCCTCGATAGTTTGAAAGATTTGCTCTCGGATTCTAATCCCATGGTGACAATGGCATTTAATTGTTTCTGCTATGTTCATGTTTGTTTAGTTTGTGTTGATGGTATTTCAGTTCACCCCATTTAAGCGCTTCTCGCTTGTTCTATTTCACTGTTATTATATTATATTATTATCTTATATTATATTATTTATATATATATATAATATCATTTTATTTAGAATACTTTGCCAATGAAATATGGTTATGCATTTTGAGTATTCGTATGTTGTACAATTGTTATTTCTATATACAATTGTTTTTTCATTTCTTATGTGTCTAAATGTTTTAAATTGACGAAGCATTTATTTGAAACTAATTAAATCACTGATTTGTTTCTCTGCTAATTAATTAACTATTATTTAATGTAAGAAATAGATAATTTGAAATCATATATCTTCATATCATATATAGATTCACTTGCAGCCAGTTTTATATGTGATATATATCATTATTAGATTATATGAGGTTAATCTATGTGGCTATTGTGTCTGTTTTGTGTGTGATTGATTTCTTGATTATTTTAATTTGATATGAGAATGCTTGAGTATTTATATTGATATATATATATATATATATATATATATATCAATATAAAATATATATATATATTATATATATATATATATATATATTTAACCATTTATTATTTGTTTATTGATTTAAATATACACGTATATATGTGAATATGTGTGTGAATTAGGTGGTAGCTAATGCAGTGGCAGCCCTCAGTGAGATCATGGAGACGAGTTCGACAGCATCACAAGTCGTGGATGTCAACACGCAAATCATCAACAAACTACTCACTGCTCTCAACGAATGCACTGAGTATGTTTTGCTTGATGACGTTGTTTTGCTGTATGTATGCTTTTGATTGTGTATTTTTGTTTGAAGCATGGCACCTCTTTCAATTCAGCAAACTTGCTGATCAGTTTTTTTGTTTCTAATTGATCCATGTTGCATTCAAATTCTAACTGTAATTTATAACTGCGTAGTTAGCACACACACACAAACACACACACACATTAATTTACATGAACACATGACGATATATGCAGATGGGGACAGGTGTTCATCTTGGATGCAGTTTCGAATTACGACCCGAAAGATGAGAGAGAGGCCCAAAGCATCTGCGAGCGCATAACTCCAAGACTAGCCCATGCTAACTCTGCTATCGTCCTATCTTCTGTTAAGGTCTGTTCTGCTGGCTCTTCGTATTTTCATGTTTCGGGTTGATTATGTTCCACAATGTGTTTTGTTATAACTTGACATTTGGTAATTAGTATCTTAATTGTTTATAGCTTTTATACTTAATTGAAAGTAGTTATGTAATATCTTTATGTGATTTTCTTATTCAATTTTAACAGATTTGTGTGAATATATCCTTAATTATTAGTTTTTGTATTTTTGAAAAATTACTATATATCAATTTTTTTAAAAATCCATTCGTACATATTCTGACCAATTGAATCACCAACAGGTAATAATGAAGTTGATTGAAATGATGGATCCAAACTCTGAAGTTGTGTCCATGTTGGTCAAGAAGTTAGCTCCTCCCATGGTCACTCTCCTATCAGCTGAACAGGAAACTCAGTATGTTGCCCTGAGAAACATCAACTTGATCGTCCAGAAGAGGTTAGAGGATTGACTCTGTTGCTGGTAGTTAGACTGTTTGTTGCTACCATCATTTTGAGGTGGTTTTTCATTATATACGTTTAATTTTTATTAAAAAGAATTACTTTACTCTTAATGTTAATGGCCGATTGATTTGATGCTTATCAACAGACCAGATATCCTGAAAACAGAGATGAAGGTGTTTTTCGTGAAGTACAACGATCCAATTTACGTCAAGTTAGAGAAGTTGGACATCATGATAAGACTGACGAACCAATCCAACATCGCTCAAGTGCTTGCAGAGTTGAAAGAGTATGCAACTGAAGTTGATGTTGACTTTGTGAGGAAATCTGTTCGTGCCATTGGTCGGTGTGCTATAAAGGTGGAACAAGCAGCAGAGAGGTGTGTCAGTACGCTGCTCGACCTCATACAAACAAAGGTCAACTATGTTGTTCAAGAAGCCATCGTCGTCATTAAGGTTTCCTCTTTTCAATTATTGTCTCTCAGTATTTTATTTATTCTGACAATTTTATTGCAATGGCTGGATGGGAATTGAAGTTGAATGTTTTATGAAGTTTTAAGGATACTTGATTCGTTAATGATATTTTTGTTATGGCAAAATATAAATAATAGTGCAAAGAAGGAGTAATGTTTCAACTAACGCTGTTTAGCGATAGTTCTTATGGCTTTTTCGCTGATCATGGTTGTAATAATGAAGATGAGGGAGATGATGATAATTATCACAATGAATCATAATGATGATATCAACTCATTGTTAGGACATATTTCGCAAGTACCCCAACAAATATGAGAGCATCATATCAACACTATGCGAGAACCTCGACACACTGGATGAACCTGAAGCAAAGTTTGTTGCATCTAGAGTATTTACACAACATTCTTCATTAAAAGTTTTCATTAAATTTGCTAATATTTTACTTCTCATGTACTTTTACACTGATAGTTCTTGATCTTTCATGGGCATGCACATATATATTTAAATATTATCAGTTGGGCTCTTGAAACTTTTTAATTTGAAGGTATGATATTCATTCACTTTTTTGTTTGGATTGAGATATGAAAACATGGATAAATAAGTGCAAATGCACACGTCTTCATTATGAATGGTTTGGTTCATTTCAATAATTTAGAACACACTTACCTGAAAAACTCACCAAACTCCAGACCTTACTAGCTTCTAATAACAATGAAACAATGCAATGTATTAAACGTAATCAGCCTGATTTCCTACGTTTGTATATTCTGCAGTAATTTAAAGTTTAAATTTAACTTGCTGCAAGAGCGTCCATGGTGTGGATTATAGGTGAGTACGCAGAGAGGATAGACAATGCAGATGAGTTGCTGGAAGGTTTCCTGGAGGGCTTCCAAGACGAGAACACCCAAGTAACTTCATTACTCAATTTAGTTACATTTCATACTTATGTATTCAACTAGCTAGTAATAATTTGATTACTTGGGTGGTTAATTTACTGCTCTTCAAAGTAGCTGAGTAACGAGTGGAATTTTGTAATTCCAGTTTATTCGGTTATCTCTCACATTATGAATGTCTCGATGTGATAATAATGTTTCAGTATATAAATAATTGATTCACGTTAAAGTTTATGTTAAAGTTTATTGCAGGTTTACTGCCGGCGTTGGTTAATTTATTTATATTTAAAATTCAATGTTCGCTATTAAAAAATAATAATCTCAGCTGCTGTTTTTCAGATATAAATACACAAATTGTAAACATGCACATGTGGCACATATGTTATAAATTGAGATGCATATATCCTTACACTTATGTATGTATATTTATATAAGTATCAACAACATCCATGCATACAAACACTGATAAACCAGGTTCAGCTGCAGTTGTTGACTGCCATTGTTAAGTTGTTCCTGAAAAGGCCAACAGATACACAGGAACTTGTACAACAAGTTCTCAGTTTGGCAACGCAGGTTGGTCGTCGTGATATTCATGGAGGATGCTGGTGCTCTTATTTTCGTTCTCTGATGACTGCTGTTTCAGTTGTTTGTTGTTTTTAACTTTTGTGGATTTGTTTTGACTTGTTCAGTTTGTTTGAAGCATGGGGTATTTTTTAAACTAAAATCAATAATACTTATTTATTAAAAATGTGATTAAACATTGATTTATTAATATTTATTCAATAATCAGGATAGTGACAACCCTGACCTTCGCGATAGGGGTTACATTTACTGGCGCCTGCTTTCCACTGACCCTGCAGCTGCCAAAGATGTTGTCCTTGCAGAAAAACCTCTCATCTCAGAAGAAACTGATCTGATAGAACCAACGTTGTTGGATGAGCTCATTTGCCACATTTCAAGTTTGGCATCAGTGTACCACAAACCACCAAATGCTTTCGTTGAGGGGAGGGCTGGTTCACTTGTCAGGAGAGTGCTTCCAAAGTCACATGTGTTAGTTTCATTGTCAGGTCCTTTTGGATTTAATTTGTTAAATGGGTATCTGTTTTTAAAAATTTTTTCAAATATTTAAACAATTTTAATATAAATTACCTTTAATATTGCACACAGTGCATCAAGTGATGCAAATCAGGAAACAGTTGCCCAGTCACCAGCAGCTGCAACGCAATCACAACCTCCTGTGTCTGTGGTCATCCCTGGCGTGGTGGACTCCTTAATTGGTGACCTGCTGGACATGGACATCAACCCTCCGATGTACCACCAACAAGGGTACAACATGCAGCAATCAAACACACCTATCCCACCCAGCAACGATATGGACTTACTCGGAGAAGGACTGGACAGTTTGGTCAGTCGATTGCATTTGATCGATGAAATGTTGTCCATATTTAGAAATTTAACGTGAAGATTCACCAATGGTTGTGTTTCAACTATTGATGATTTAAATAACATGAAGTTGTTGGTTTTTCGAATGACGTGAAGTTGTCGTCAATCCTCTGCAGCTGGGAGGTGTCCAGGGATCTGGATTGGATGGGAGTGGATCGGAGGCACTCGGTGGATTGAGGGATATTTTTGGATTGGCTCAGTCTGCTAGCTACATTCCACCCCAAGAAGTTAGTCTTAACACGTTGAATGATTATTTGTTAGAATTATTTGATTGGCTATCGGTCAGCTTTGACTGATTGATTTAATAGATTACTTGCTCAATATTGATTATTATTGAAACAAAACTAAGGTATGGTTGACAGCAGCCAAAGGCAAAGGCTTGGAAGTTTCTGGAACATTCTCTAGGAAAGGTGGGTTTTTTTGTAATATTATAGCAATGGACTAAAAATGAAATGTTTTGTTGTGGCCCTTGTATTTAACAACATAAATTTAATATATGAATTAATATACTTATTTATTTATAATCATGATCTTGAGATGAACTTGAATGATGTTGGCAAATTACTACAATACGTTTATAATAAGGTGGTCAAATGTTCATGGAGCTAACATTAACAAACAAGGCACTTCAACCTCTCATGGGGTTTGCAACACAATTCAACAAAAACAGGTCTATTTTGAGGCTTACTTGTGGTAAAGTGTTGCAATAATTGTTAGACTTAACTTAGTATAATGTTATTCTGTGGTGTTATGTTGTTGTGATAGTGTCTGGTTATATGAATAGAATTCGTAATTTGCTGCAATTAATTATGAATTTTTTAAAATGTTAAAATTTAATTTTATCTAACAGTTTTGCGATATCTCCAGCCCAACCGCTAAATGTCACATCGCTGATGCCCAACCAGAGTTTGAACGTCTCCATACTCCTGAGCGCTGTTGGACAGGTGCAGAAGATGGAGCCACTCAACAACTTGCAGGTAGGTTTTGATTTTTTTTTGCTTCTATTCGAGATGATGATTGGTGGTTTGAATGGTTGAGGACTTCGTTGGATATGTGTTAAAAAATATTTATGATAAATCTACATTTGAGAAATATTTCCACGTTGATCCGTTCACCTCTGCCTAGGTTGCCATAAAGAACAACATCAGTGTATTTTACTTCAGCTGTCTCATTCCAGTGCATGTGCTGTTTGTTGAGGATGGTGAAATGGAGAAAAGAACCTTCCTGGCTACGTGGAAAGACATTCCGGTTCAGAATGAAGTGCAGTATGAGATTAAAAATGTGCAACACAATGCTGGTGGGTGGAACCAGTTATCTCTTAAATGATTCACATTTGCAAATTTTCTTGGATTTATTTACGACTACCTTAAAAATACATATATATAAGGAGGAATCTATAATTTTCTGCTATCCTCTAAACTAAATTTGGTTTAACTACAATTTTTTTAAATTATATACTTAATTGTCACATTTATGACAATCAATTGTCTATGAAAATTTCAACTATCAGTATTACAACATTGTACAACAAAATTATTGCAGACACCGTCTCACAGAAACTGCGCAACAACAACGTCTTCACTGTGGCCAAGCGAAACGTCGAAGGTCAAGACATGTTGTATCAGTCCATCAAGTTGACCAATGGTATCTGGGTGCTCACTGAACTCAAGATACAACCTGGCAATCAAAATTTCATGGTCAGTTGCTCGATTGATTGGTTGGTTTGTTGCTTGGTCACTGTCGCATTAACGCGGTTGATGCGTCGTCTGCCAGTTTGGTCAGATGATTTCTTGATTACCGTTTACTACCTGATTCATCGAATTTTTAATAGATTTTTATAAGTGTTCTACAATTTATTAAATCTTCATGAGATTAATTAAACTCTTTTCGACTTAACGTTAACAATAGATAATAATCTAAACTTTTGTTTCAGCTATCCCTGAAGTCAAGAGCAGCTGATGTGTACCCTGTCATCCAACAGTCATATGAGACTATATTACACGCGTAAGTAAACGTAAACGTCCTAATGTGTGCCCGTTGGTCTGCAACTTGCGTGATTCGTCGCGCTAACGAGTACCCCCGTCTACGAAGAGTGACTCTTTAAAAATGTGTTGATATTAAAATGAATGAATGAAACCACTTGTACAGAAAAGATCAGTCGCACCAGTCAAATAATATATTTCATCTATCATAGCTTAGATTCCGTATTTACTAATGTCTAGATTGCAAACACCTCCGTTGGATTTTTTTCTATCATTGCTCATATCACAACTACGCCATTGTCCTAATCAAAACGCGAAAGAAAATTAGTTACTATTGTTTGTCGTTGTTGTTGCCGTAGCGATTGATACTCTTAGATTAATTCCTGTGATTGAATCTTTGTTATAAATACTTTTCAATTTTTGCTACTTGTAATTTCGGTTACTTTGTAATTACTACTTCAAGAACCAGACTATTTTGTCAAATAGCGAATTAACTCAATTTTGTAGAAAGTTTTGGTTAATGAGACCTTATGTGGTTATTAATCTTGGTAAGCGCTCTATCATATACGTACGATATATATACTTAAATATATATTGTGTCCACCTTAAGATTCATGTGTTATAGCTAAAATAAGATCTAGTGAGTACAGTTAAGTACGCATTTAAAACACGATATTTTGTTACCCGTTAAATAAATGTAATTTATTATTTATGTTTGTAACGCGTCATTAAAGTCAGGTGAAATCATTTAGTAGCCGATGACGTCATTTTATTGTTATGCTCAAAACAACGTTTAGAACTTAACAAAGTTCAATAACCTGGATGAAATAATAGTAGTGCAGAGAAAGAATGTTGACCACTTTTAAGCTTAGAGATTAATAACATTTCTGTTAACAAGTTTTAAAATATAGTAAGACATAATTAATGTAATAAAAATATTTAACATAGCAGGTTAAAAAGATCTAGCCAAAACTTTTATAAAAGTAGAAATTTTCTTTAAAAAGCAGAAATGTAAAGGACTGGGTCACACTTGACAAGAGGATATCATCAATTAATTTCCTACCATAGGATAGCACAGAGAAGTAACATGACACAGAAAATATTGAAACGCTTAAAAATGCAAACCAAATAATTTAGCATTTAATATAAATAAAAATAATAAAGTTCATTGAATTAATTGATCGATGTCAACTAAATTGACCAATCGCTTGATCAACCCTTCAATGAAGACATGCCTGCTCTCATCATTTCATCGACCAACAACAAATTGGTTGCTATGACAGTGCATGAATGAATGATCTGCCTCTTTACTCTGTAATTGTCTAAGATACCAGCATCCACCGGAATCAGTACCTCACCTGGTCAACGATATAAATAGTTATTGTAACTTATTACCATTGGTACCCGTAATTCAATCAACTTATAAAAAAAGGATGATGGCAAATGAGATACTGCTTACCTGTGGTTATGTCAAGACCAACAGGCTGTTTAGCACTAGTGAACTCCTCTTGCAGCTTCACAATGGTATCTTGTTGATCGAAACCAGAATTCTGAGCAAGAACCTTGGGTATGATGAGCAAGGCTTCAGCATAAGCCTGAACTCCCAACCTAGCTCTACCCTTAACAGTCTCCTTGTATTTGATGAGACCATCGTATGCAGCTATTTCAAATGCACCAGCTCCTGGTACAACACACCCTGTTCAAATGACATAAAAGCATCTAAAGTTTAAAAGTTTTGCCAATAAAGAAAGCACATTAGTTGCATTATTAAAATCACCTAACAAAATTTTACTTAGAAACCATCTACATAGCATTAGCGTTGTCACTGTCATAAATATCAATGTCACCCACAGATAACTTTCAAATCATCATAATTAAATTCCCGAATGGCAAAAACAGGAATCAAACAATTGTTTACCATCTTCAATGGCATTCTTGACAGCTCTTAATCCGTCATGAAGGGCATCTTTCATCTGGATGAGTGAGTGCTTGTTGGGTCCCTTCAACAAGATGGTCACTGACTGTGGGTTGGCACACTGCTCTATGAATGTGAACTTCTCTTCACCCTGCAAACATTATTACATAATTGGGTGAAAATTCTATACAATCTAATTAATAATAAGAGTAAACTGGTAAGCAGCATCAGGTGCCATTTTATTCAAGATACATTTAAAACATAAGAGACTGAAGATAAGAACATCGAGAATATTAAAAGCATAACAGTATTATGTATAAAATGAAGATACAAGAAATGCAACTCATCAAAAAATATATAAAAATTAGAAATATAATGTAAAAAGTAAGGTGATGACATGGACTGCAAAATATCCTAACATTGGATTAGTACCACTCAATGAACTAACCAGAACGTGTTCATAAACAAGTCCAGCAGTGCCAAGACAGTCAGGTTTGAGATCTTCAACGGAATTCATCAGAGCACCACCACAGGCAAGTGGAATCCTCTCCATGTTACGACGCTTGGCACGACGCAATGCCAGGATTCCATGTTTGGCCAGTTGGTCGAGTGACAATGGATCTATACCCTGATTATTTTTAAAGTTATCTCTATGTTAATCAAATTAATGATGATTCAGATTTTATCCATTCACTTAACTACACGAACCTTTTGATTGATGACAACAAACGATTTTTTATTTTCCTTTGTGCAGACTTTATTCTTGAATTCAATGATCTTCTGTACCCTCTGATCTGTGAAGGCTCGTTCTGCCTGTACGAGTTTCTCACGTTCTGCTGCACTCTTGTAGAAGAATCCACTGTTCACCTCCCTTCAAATTGATATATCAATAGATGTTAAATGTACTTTTAAATTAAAATCATGTAATATCATTCAACAAAATTTTCCAAGCTGCATACATAGCATACAACAGAACACCAAAGTTGATGTTTTAGCTTGAAAATATCTTAAACTATGATTAAAATTTTAAAAAGTGATTATGAACATTGAAAAAACCGATAAATATTGAATACTAACGTTTTTTCATACTCAAGAGACACATTGAGGGTGAGTATATAGGCATTTTCAAGTCTCTTGGGCATGTCAGGGTGTCTGCCACCATGGTCCATCACCAACCCTCGCACTAATCTGATCAGTTTTGCATTCAAAGGGTTGACGTGCATATCATTAACAGGAGGAAAAACAACATAGCCATCAAAAAACAAAACTTTTAAAATAATATTCACAGTTGAGAAAATATAAAATTACTAAACATTAAATGAATAACTAATGTCAATCAACTTGTGAGCACACTTTAGTACAAACTGACCTGAACTGCCCACATCAGCAAACAAACAAACAAACAAACAAACAGATAATGAAAAACATAAGTTGAACACACTTAGTGTCCATGTCCGTTTTGTGTTGCATCTCCATAATCTCTACCATGTGCAAGTCGATAGGCTCACCCTTCTTCTCAATGGCCAACACAGCATCAACCACATGCTGTTTGCAATCATGTTTAGTTTGTAAATGGAATATCCACTTACTTGATTTTATAAAAAATCATAATTGAAATAATCATAATTGAAGCCAAGCACCGAGTTGTTCAGCATGTTTTCCAAGCTATTGAAAATATCTGAGGACTAAGGCATAGGCATACTATTATAAAGAAGATCTATATAATTTCTCATAGTATCGTGCCTTAGGAATAATTATAATTTTTTGGAGGTATAATTTGATTAAATCAAAAATGAAAGACTTCAAACTACTATTAATAATATAAATGATTCTCTTAAGAACCTTACTTAGATCTATTAAAATACTTTGATAGCACCATGATTGAAGTTGCTTGCTAGATGCACAAATACAATCACACATGCAAAAACAAACACACACACACACACACACACATAAACACATACATACACAAATGAATAACATCAATTCAAACAACTATGAAAAAATTAAGACGATGATAAAAATGGAATAATAATGAAATTAACCTCAGTGAGTAAATCTGCCAAATCAGGATGTACTTTGGTTCTGAGAGATGTTCTCGAAACATTTATTAGGACATCTCTATCGATATTCTTTACAACTTTTACATTATCCAAAATCTGTCACGAGAAGAATTTGTCATGAGATATTTAATGCCTGCTAATAGCAAATGACAGCAACTAATAATTATAGAAGACATGCACATAGCATGAACATATTTACTATTGAAAAATGAACAACATAGCAAAATAAAGCATGAAGATAGCAAAAAATAAATGAACAATGAATTACTAACTTCCAAGCATTTAACTTTTGCAAGATCAAATCCTTCGGCCACCAATCTTGGGTGCAAACCCTTAAAATGATTATATGGACAAATTAAAAATTTGAAAAAGGTTATCAAGGTTTCTTATGCTCCATTTGTGAATATGTTATGTACATTATCATTATGACAAAAAACATTGTGGGTATTATTAATGGGAGACACTACCAAGCTTTAACTTTACATGTTTACATTAAAAAAATTTTAAACAAGTTTTATTTTTAATTTTAAAGAAATGAGTCTCTTATTTAACCTCTAATATATATTACTTTCACTAAAAATGATAGGATAAGGACGAAAGTTTCTTAACTCAGCATCACACAATATTTGGGAGGAGCTTTAAAGTGACAGATGCTCCATTAAACATTTTCTTCAAGTATAGACATACCACTATCACAGAACAAACTAATTTAAACGAGATAATTGTCTACTACTCATTTGTAATAACAAGTGACATCATAAAAGAAGCATTAAAAATACAGTGCAAGTGTTATTAATAATGCCATTTAAAGATGTTGTAAGATCAAAAAATCACAAAGTAGTTAATTTAGTTAATTAAACAAAAATTGATTGAATCAAATATCTAAATGTTACATGACCAACCTCTGATATATATCTATCTGCTTGTTTCAACAGTTCTCCAATGATAAGACAGTTAGATGTGGTGCCATCTCCTGTTATGTCATCTTGGGCTGTGGCCACCTTCGCTATCAATGAAGCCGTTGGGTGTTGTATTTGCTGAATCAGAATAATTTTTAATAAAAATATATAAAACGTGCACAATTATTTTAATATTTCAAATTAAATTACTTCAGCTTCACACAAACCATTTCGTGTAAAAGAACATTTCCATCTTTAGTAAGCTTAATATCGCCTGATCCGGACACTAACCTAAAATTAGTGAAATGATGTTACCAACTGATTCAGTAAAATAATTATGATAAATAAAAAGCGCATATAAATCATTCAGACATTTAGACCACTTTCGTAAAAAAAAATGCAGGGCGACAAAGCATTTTTCGCGATTATCACACGTGCCGATTATCAACAATTCCTTACATTTTCATCGTTCCCTTTGGGCCCAGATTGGACTTTAAAACTTCCTGCAACCCCTTCGCGGCCGAAATGTTAATGGCCAGGGCCTGGCCTGCTCTGGCAACTTCGGCTTTTGGATTCAACACTTTTACGGCAGCCATCTTCAAAATAGAAACAACGAGAATTAATTTAAAAGTAAACGGTGATCAGCAATTGTTTTGTTACTTTACGTTGAAATGCTTAGGTTACGTTTATATATGAATGAATATAGCATGCATAGATATATATATCCATGATAGCATGAATATCGAAACCATTGGTATGATTTGAATTTTCATATAAGCATCGTCGCTGTAAAGATTTAATTAGATTTACCGTGTTTATAAAATTAACTTGGTCTACGATATACCATGAATTGAGGAACCTTTATAAAAACTGCTGTATCAAAATATTGTCAGATACTTGCGTTCATTCATCAGAAACTGAGCTAAAGCTGATGACGAATGATATGAAAAGAGAGATAGAAAAAAGAAGAAAAAAGAAAGAAAAAATGGAGATGAAAGAGAAGGATGAAATACCTTACTGTGACATCTGACATGTGGCATCACATTCTTTGGTCTGTTTATATACTTATTTGCCTATTTATCTGTCCTTTCATCAGTTTGTCTATCGGTTTAACCGACCACCTTTGAAATGTAACATTTTTATTAGATAAATTATCAGCATAATAAACACATTATCACATCTTAATCATATCGCCATTCTTAACATCGTCATCTTATAATTTTGGACAAGTATTTACCTAATAACAAAAATAATGACGCATTCATTGGACCTAGCCACCAGAAATACCAAACGACGATGCTGGTGATAGAGAATGATGATGAGATGATGATAACGATATCACAGCCCTACAAGATGTGAACCCATTCTTATTCATGAGATCTCTCTCACTCCACCTCTACCTCAATCAATCAATCAATCAATCAATCAATCAATCAATCAATCAATCGATCGATCGATCGATCGATCGATCGATCAATCAATCGATCGATCAATCAATCAATCAATCAATTAATCAACCAACTAATCAATCAATCAATCAATCAATTATCTTGTAAAGCGCTATTTCCGCGATGTTTACAGCGCTCATCGATGAATTTTGCAAACAGATGGGTCTTGAGATCCGCCCTGAACTTCGTAAGTGATGGAGACGTAGTCAGAGAAGTAGGTAGAGAGTTCTAAAGAAAAGATCCAGAAAAAGCAAAAGCAGATTTAGCAAAAGAGTGTTTAACACGAGTTAAGAAGTGGCAACAAAAAGACGATCGTAAACAGGGGCGTTTAGGTTCAATTGATATATCTGATAAGTATAAATACTTAGGAAATAATTTAGATTGAGACTTATACATAAATGTGCAAATTTTAAAAATTATTCTACATTTTATTGGTAACCAGTGCAAGAGAACAAGATGTGGAGATATATGAGAAAAGAAAGGGGCACGAGCAACTAGACGAGCAGCAGAGTTAAAAACTTTACTTAAAGGATAGAGTGTAGAATCAGGAAGACCATAGTAGACCGAGTTACAACAATCAATCCTAGATAAGACTAACGATGTAACAAGAAGCGAAATTAAAAATTATGGTAATAAACTTCAAAAATCAATAATAACATCAGCACAAAAACAACAAACGCATCAACAACAGCATCAACAAAATAACAATAACAACAAAATCAACATCAAACTCAACATCCAACAGCGTCAATAAAATAAAATTCAATAGTATTTATTAAGCACAAATACATTTATTTTGCTTTCGCGTTATCAACAAGTACTTATCAATGATGGTGTGTTTGTTATCATGTGGGTAACGATGATGATGACGATAACGACAATGATGACGACGATGATGACGATTATGTTACGATGAAGATGATGATGACAATAACGATGATAATAACAAAATGATGATTAATAATCGTGATAACATTAAGATAGTGACTATGAAAAAACTTCACTAAAATTTGTTAGTTGGAATGACGATTATTTAGTATCCGGTTTAATATTGTTCTATTACTAACTAACAACTTCTAGCGATTAATATTCATTTTTATCTGCAGACTTTATTTTTTATATCAATATAAAAAAAGTTTGTGCCGATTGATTATTTAATAAAAATTTGTAACAAAATTCATCTCAAAATTTTGTAACAAAATTAAAAATGTTTGTCCGCTCTGTGACAAGTCCTAGGAAGGCCTTCCTACCAAACCTGCAGATTTGGTGAAAATCATTTTCATTTATAGGGACGGTGGGATAGCCTAGTGGTTAAGGTGGTCTGGTGCTGTTTCGCAGTGCCTGGAGTCAGTGGGTTTGATTCCGATATGACAAAAAATTCCCTCCTGTTACATGCTTTTTGTGTGATTAGCCGTTTAGCATGTATTGTTGTATTCATGTGCGATATTTATGAGTGTTGTTGATTCCTCTAAAGCTAGGGAAAGTGTATTAGACCGATTTTTTAAACTTTTTTTTAATTGAAAAAAATATTATGAACCAATAAGAACGAATTGGTCAGTTTTATTCATTTCATATGAATTGTGCCGAAGTGTTCACGTAAAATCTGGTAGTAAAGGATGTTTAATCGTTTCTCAGGTCCTTGAAGTTTTCCATTTTATTGAACTTAAATTTAAAAGTAAATTAACTAAAAATTTTGCTAACTGGTGTCATAAAACGATGAAGGATTCAAAACAGAAAGTAATGAATAAGTGGAGAGAAGTTAGAAATTTGTTGGATTCCACTTAATTGGCTGACATAACTCTTTTTACTGCATAACAAGCAAGCCAGGCATTCTTCGATAATTTTTTGGTTGAAACAGAAGTTATTTGCTTTGCAGTCATGATCACCCGTGTGCAAGCAGAAGCACACATTTAAAAAAAATATTTTAAAATTGTTGAATTCCTTTTGTTGACGTTGTACCGGATATTTATTACACTTTCATAAAATTGTTCAATGTCTTTCAAAATTAATTTGTCTCTAATTTAAAGGTTAAATCGTCGCATGAATAAATAAAATTCAATTATACGTATTTTAAATATAGGATTTCATTTTGGCTTCTAATTTAGCGTTCTTGACGGGCTCCTCCAAGATGCGGATGACATTCTTCCTGATCAGCTGATTCAACTTGGCCAGTGTTGGGAGCGGTAAAGTGGCATCGGAGTTGGCACGTTTGCTCAACTCTGGGTCGTCATAATTCTTTATATCGAGTGAAAAAATTATTACCATTTTAATTTTTAATAAAACGAAATTAATGACTGTTGTTAGAAAAATAATTACTAAATAAAGAACTTGAAATTACACTTACGAAGGAAGGCAGGACGAAGGCCAGAGATGGTTGGATGCTTGCTGAGGAGAGGAGAACAATGGCGAAGACCGTCAGCGAACATAATGTTATCAGGTGCACCATCCTTTATCTTTTATTTATTATATTTTAAATGAACTTTCAGCAGATTCTTTAAAATTTTCAAACTGAAACTGTAGAGCACGTTGATGCTTTTTATAGTAACTTGTCCACAACTGCATAATTGTTTAATTGCCTGTTGTAAATGGCATCTGGCAGACAACCGGAAGCACATCTCAATTTCCACGTCGACCAATCACAGGTCGTTATTTCATCACAAGAAGCGTTGTTTATATAGTTCTTTTGATACTGTCAATTGAATTTTTTGTTAGAAGAGTAACTTTTTAAATTTGTTTATATATTTTATAAATTAATTTTCATAAATTAATTTTTATAAATCAATTGAATTTGCTACAAAATATTATTGTACAAAAAATGAGTCAATTAAAAAATTAAAATTCATGCTCTTCTATGTCTTTCTATATCTTCAATATTTTTCGTGGTTACTCAGTCTTCATTTCCCTGCTAAGTTCACTTAGTTCACTTGCATTCGAAGCAGAATTCACCTCCACACTTCATATAGCACCTCATATCAATCACATCATCACAAAAAGCTTTCAAACATTTCACGCACTCAAAACACACCGCTCACATGGTCTCAGAATCATCAAATTATTCGTCATCACTGAGTCACTCATTATCTCACACATCAATTATGCAGCTCCCTCCTAGTCCGGTTTTGCTACACACGACAACTTCAGCAACTACAATCTCTCATCAAAAAACTAATCCGCCTCAACTATCTACCTGCATCATATCCTACCGTCACTCAAATATCCAACACCTCAATTCAAGACTGTTTAAGAAGGTAGAAAACAACAACAACCACATCATCCATCCTCTACTACCATCAATCAAAACTACAACACACTACCTTCGTCAGCGCTAACATAACTATCAAGTCGCCACCCAATCTACATATCAAGAAAAGACTTTCATCACAAAACACCTCAAACATCTAAACACTCAATAAAACTTTATCATTCACACATCTAGTTTTTATTTAATAAAATTTTATTATTCACACAACTAGTTTTTATTTATTGATCACCTCACTAACTCACTAAGTCATCAATCTAGTCTATTAATATGCGTTTTTATGCCATTACTTCATTTTATTGCCAATTTATTTTATTGCCAATTTATTTTATTATTTATTTTATTCTATATTGTTTTATTTTTCATGTTTAAACATTTTTCTTTATTTACTAATTTGTTTAATTTTGTACTACTGCCTTTAAAGAATAAAAAAAATCTGCTGAGTGGTAATTAGCATATATGCTGCTAAGGAGTAATTAGCATATTACGTATATTTTCCATTAAGCTTTTGGGTTTATATTTTCCATTAAGCATTCGGGAACCATCATTGATACAAAGCCCCTTGATTTAAAGAGTGTGGTTTGTTATGTTTGAAAACATTGCTAACACCTTTATACAGAATACACGTGTATTTCTATGGCTGAACAGTTCATTTTATGTATACAAGAAGCGGTACCATATCAAATCAACTGATTTTAATTTTGCTGAGTTGATTGAGTGGTGGAATGGGGGGCAATGCAAAGTTTATGGAAACATTTTTTTTTCTTTACTAAAAACTATCTTTATTGTATACATTTTTATTTTTTCAATAACTAGAAATTTAGGAAACCATAACCAAATGAATAACAACATGTCCATGAATAACAAATTTTATTTTTTAATGTCTATACATATTTGTGATTTACATTTTGACTCTTTCAAATCTGGCACGTGACCTTCATTCAAGATATGTGAGCAGCATCTTCCGGCGTCAAAATGACATTCTTCTCAGTCAGCTGATTCACCTTCGAGGTCGACGGCAGCTTCAGAGTTGCATCTGGAACGCTTCTTTTGCTTAACTCTGGGTCTTCGTAATTCTGTCGTTTTGTGAATAAAAACTCCAGAAACAATAGAACATAATTAAATGCATGTGAAATGAATAGTTTTAAAAATGATAAGTGAAGTTATACGTACAAAAGAAGGCAGTACGAAACTGTACGATGGTTGAATGGTTGATGATGAAAGAATCACGAACACCGTCACTGTACATAATGTCACCAAATGAACCATTTTCTTTTTTTTAAATCAAAAATTAATTAAATAATTAATATTTAGTTGAAACTGTTTGTCTTGAGCTAATTCTCGCTTTTACAGCGTCAGAAACAGGCAACTTTTCCAAATTAATTGTTGAATATTGCAGTAAATTCTTAAGCAAGGAATGTTACCCCACAACAACTTGTCGCTAAGTTATCAAAGAATGTCCCAAATGCAGTAGCAGGATTATGAATGTTTTGCGTGCAAATGTTAATGGCTATTAAATAAATTTTTAACGAATTTTTTTTAACAATATTAATATACTTCAATCAAAAATAACCTGGCGTTGCAAGCGGTTCTCAATATATTGAAGTAATTAAAATTAATTAATTTGCAATTTTTATTTTTTTTAATATTATTTTTCTGAAATGTATCAAAATACTCGTGAAGAGATTTTTAGAAAATAAAACATGTTGAAGTTCACTGTCATTACAATGAATGTTGCGTCAACTAGGAGTGATAAATAGTCGAGTACATTTAAATAGAATATATTCTATAGTCTAATTATATGGTTGAGTATAAAATTATGCCTTGAATATGTACAACAAACTAATTTTTCTTACACTCTCACTTAACGTACAATCTTATAATGCTTTATTCATGCAGGTGTTTATGTGAGGTAGCTTAGTTAGATAGATGCATTTGCATGTCTAGTGCCGTTTTTTACTCGTTTACAATATGGTTTTTTAGCCCACCTGTAACATTAAAATGACCGAATTGAACAGTTGTGAATAGTTATTAAATACATATTCACGTAAGGACGTTCAAAACATTGCATTATTTTATCGAAATCTGTCGTCCCATGATTTTGTTCCATCTCGAGCTTTCAATTCATTTCGAATCAGATTCAAATTTTATTCGGCAAAAGCACAGGAGATCACGATACAATTGCGTGTGCAGACCACCTTAACTAAATAGTGAAACAAATGAACGATATCGTTTGATCATCTAAAAAACAGAAACCAAATCAATAAATTTGTCAAATTAATCAAATATTGAAAAAGGTAATGAACTTCTAGTAGAAAATACATAAAGAAAAATAAAAAATAAAGTTCAATAGTTACACTATTATAAAAAATAATTTGAACGAATCAACTGATAAATGAAAGTTTTAAATTGACCTAAGGATAATACATGAACAATCTTGCTTGTGTCGTTTCCATCTTTAAAAATTAATTATGAAAAAATAAATTATAATAACCACAGCAAGGTGCGAGTACGACTAAGGGCTAGGGAATTAGACGACATCAGACATAGCCGAGTCAGCAGAAGCTCTCGTCTGCAGCTTCGTTTGCAGTAGAAATGATTTTTGTAATGTGATGATGTATGAGATCAACCTGTGTCGTCGCAAGATAATTTTAAATCCGTTTTGAATGCAGCTGCCAGATCGGTTGCTGGCATCTCGAGGTTCGATCCAATATTTCAATACAACAGAGTTGAGCTACACTGACTCCGCATGCAGGAAAGAATAAAATTCAAACTAGCTCTACTCGTAAAAGATTGTTTGGTCAGAGATGCTCCAATCTACCTGACCAGCTTCAAAAACTCAATACAGTGGTCGACTGCGATCATCCAGCAACGGTGACCTTGCAGTTCAAAAATTCAAATCTTTTCATTTTTGGGAAAAGAAGATTTTCTGTCCGAGCTGTTCAAATTTGGAATGCGTCAACTGCTGATCTGAAAAATTTAAGGCCATTATCAGAAGTGAGTCAAAAAACGTCTGAATAATCATTTGTTCTATATATATGGTTCAACCTCACACAGCGAAGAGGATGAAGAGAGCACATCTGAAGTTGCTCATGAGAGGCGCTGTACAAATTCTGCGCCACACGATATGATACGAGATGAATTTTTTTTAAATTTTCCAATATTATTAAATTAATACATTTTAGCGGTTTATATAATTTATATAACTGTTATGAATCAATTGTTAAAATTATCAACTCGGTTCTTTTGTTAAGCGCTTTTAACATTGTTTATTTGTTGTCTATGCCAAAAATAAAAATTGCTTCTTTTTCCCGTAAGTTCGGTCCTTTTATTTCAAGATGGGTGAGTAAAGCTTCAATCCTGTTTCATCTTATTTTTGGATTTGTTATATTCTAAAAATTTGTTGAAATTTGATTAATATTATTTTAATTTGTTTGTTTTTAATGTTTATGTTTACAAAAACTGTGGTTGGTTGAAACTAGACGGTTTAAAACATTGTTTTTTTATACTAGCTAAGTTTGTCAGTTTAAGATTTTCTCGTGTGTTATTATATTTATTTTAATTTTGGCTAATATAGTGGCTAGTATATTTTTTAAAATTGTTTTAAAAATTGAAACATTTTAAAATTTAGATCATTTCTAATGATAATCTTTTTTACTAAATCAATCTTTACTTTGGCCATGCAATAATTCTTTCATTTTGTCGACCAGCCAGGTGTTGTGAAAAATTGTGAATCATTTTAATTTAATAATTAAACGTTGCTCTATAGTCTTTGCATAAGGTGCTTTAATTTATCAGATTATAATAATTATTTTTTAATTGTAATTCATTGGGTATTTCATCAGTTATAGTTGGTTTTCTCTTTTCAATTATTCTGATACACAATTTTAATTGTATTTAAGAAAATAATTATAAAAATGTCGCAAAGGATGAAAATTTGATCCTGACTAAAGTGATGCTTTTATTGTCATAGTTACACTGATGCGACTTACATATAATAAAATTTGAGATCATCTTATTCAAAAACAATATCATTTATAATTAAAATGTATAATTAGCTATAACTTTTTTCATCTTAACCACCACAAACAAGGTATTTCACGGGACAAATGGCATAAGCGCAGGAAGACTGGAGGTCGCATGAGTCAAGTGCGCAAGAAGCGAAAGTTTGAGCTTGGTCGACCACCCGCGCATACAAAAGTAATTATATTTTTCAAAATGTTTTGCAGTTCATTCAGATTAACTAAATATTGTGATACTGTCCTAGATTGGTGCCCGAAGAATCCACACAATTAGAACTCGAGGTGGAAATAAAAAATATAGAGCTCTAAGATTAGATACTGGAAACTTTTCTTGGGGATCTGAAGGTCAGTAGATTGTTTTTTGTTTTTAATAACATTGATTTTAAGTTACTAGTGGGAACATAATTAGGAATTTGCTCAGTTATGTGATTTTTCATCTGACATTTGATTGTTTTTACAAATAGCTATCACGAGAAAGACCAGAATTCTTGATGTAGTTTACAATGCCAGCAACAATGAGTTGGTCAGGACAAAAACATTGGTGAAGAACTGCATCATCCTCATTGATTCTGCTCCCTTCAGGAACTGGTATGAAGGGCATTATGCATTGCCTCTCAGCAGGAAGAAGGGTGTAAAACTAGTAAGTGTCTGTGCATCATTCATGATTGTTATGACTTTCCAAAAAAATTTTAAATTTAGAAATCTACTATCAGTTGGAATTTAGTAGTCTTTAATAATTTACTGTTGTGTAAATAACAATAATTACAAAACAGACTAAGTTTTGTGTCATTTTTCTAGAGTTTGAAATTGGTATATTTGTAAAAAGTTTTTGATTTTGAGAAATCCATAAAAATGGTCAAAATATTAATTTAACTTCATGGTTTTTATGTTGTAAGTCTTGAAAAAGATCTGGTTGGTTGGTAAGCTGTCAGTTTGTTTGGCAAAAAGTTTAATTTGCTCAGGTGGTTAAATTGTTGTGATTCAAGGCATTGTTATCGCACACTAACTAATCCAGCACAATCACTAAACACTTTGGTGCATGTGATGATACATTTGGTATTGTGTGAATGTTAGTATTAATACATCCAAAAAATTCAATATTCTTTTGTGCATCTTTTAACATTTAAGGCAGTATCTTGTAATTTAAAATGTTTTGCTATTTAGACTCCTGAAGAAGAAGCCAGGTTGAACAAAAAAAGATCCAAGAAGGCCCAACGCAAATATGAAATTAGGAAGAAGACGGCCAAGGTTGAGCCTGCCCTTGAAGAGCAGTTTGCCAGTGGAAAAATTTTGGGTCTGTTTTAGATAACTATATTTCAATTTTTTGATCGGTTATATTAATTCCATTACTTTTTTAATGGTCAATACTTTAGTCTGTTTTTGATAACTATATTTCATTTTTATGATTGATTATAAGTTTCATTACCTTTTTAAGGGTTATTTTAGTCTGTGGCTTTGTTCAAATGATAAATAATATCTAACCATCAAATTTAATATTTACTTTTACATTCCCAATGTTTAGCTTGCATATCTTCCAGACCGGGGCAATGTGGTCGTGCTGATGGTTACATATTGGAAGGTAAAGAACTGGATTTCTACAACAGAAAGATCAAAGCCAAAAAAGGCAAATAAGCAGTCAAATTGTGCATATTATTCTCCTGACTGAACAGTTCTCGGTTGCTAATGCTTAAATAAATTTTAAAAAATTTTGCCTTGTGTTATTTTTTAATGTGACTAAAGTTTTGTAAATAAATAAAATAAAACACATACATGTATTTCTAAATGTGAACATAGGTGCAGTGAGTGAAACTCCTGCGAACATACGCATATACAAACGTAACATTCAAACTTAAGTGACAAAAACCAAGATCTAATATAAAGACCGGCCTAAAAAAGAAACTGTCTATTTTATAAACTAAGATTTTTCAAAATTTTGCCAATGGTTCACCGTGTTATAGTTACTAAATTTTGAATGGTAAGTAATCAGTCAAGCAACCCAACAAACTCACATGCAGCCTTTGGAATGCAACTCAAAAAATATTAAATTTCATCTCCTGCTTTTTTGTTAGTACGTTTTTATTTATTCTTATAAATATTATGTTGTCTTCATTACATTCAGTCAATTGTATCATGAAGTCGAGATATTTAGAAATAGTTGAGCAAGCATGCATTGAGGAATGAAGAACAGCTAGTCAATTACAGGGTTGTATTCGTTTATGGACGTGACACTTCTATTTGGCACATTTACAAGCACATCAGTATCTATATAAGAAGACAAAAAAGCAGAGAAGAACAACGAAGAATAAGAGAACGAGGATTATGAAGAAGTCAGAAAAAGTTTCGAGCAGAAGAAGAGTCCTGTTATCGCGGAGAAGTTTTGTGTGCGAACTGAACGCAATTTAGCGATAACATCCGACGAAAATTTTATCACGAAGAATTCTACACGCGGTCAGCGAGTGAATTAGATAATCTTCCGAAAAGCAAATTCTGAAGATTTACCGGCCACGTCTAACGAGAGAAGCTTAATTATTGACGATTGGTTTTATTCCGGGATTTACCTGTTGATTAGTTATTGCGCTGTATTCTAACGATTTTATCAATTGAATGAACGAGTTGTTGGTCACAGCAATACACACAAGAGATTGCCAGGACTGTTTTCTTTCTGATAAAGTTCAGCTGGAATAAGTTTGTTCAGGAGTCAGGAAACCACGTAGGGAGAAATAACTGTACCCTACAAGTTCAAGGAGTCGGTTATAACAATATTTTCACTTGTTATAAATTTCAGTTTAACGAAAATAACATGAATATTAAATGGTTATTTGGGATAATTGAAATTACAAACTCTGATTCATCTATCAAGAGTACTTAACTTTGTTTAACAAATTTGAAATCACTGAGAATGTTGACTGAGCGCAGAGATATCTTTTATGATCCACATGAAATCGCATGTATACATCAACTTAGCATAAATGTCATATATATATATATATATATATATATATATATATATACATACATAATATATATAAACATAAATATTGAGAAATACTTTCGATATATGTAGGTATGCTGGTGTATGCATGATACAATTTTATCTTTTAAAGTTCAACATTAACGTGTCAGAACAGTCAAAATAGGGCCATTAATTGCAGATCTGCGCTCACACTAAATTAATTTGAGGTACATATTAGTTTATTTAAAATATTGTACGATGTCCAAAATTATATTAAATGCACAAAAATAATTAATTTTAAAACAAGTTTGTCACTTGTAACAAATGTATAACAAAAAATTTTGAAAAATGCAAACTTAAAATGAGATGTAATGTCACACATCTATGGTACAATTTAAATTGAGAGAAGAAATACTTTATTTCAAACAGAATGTAACAAACAGCTACCATCATTAATACCATTACTACCACAAACTACTCGATCTGTGCAATGAAGACCATCATAAGAATGCCAACGAGCATGGCGCAAATCTCTTTAACACTCTGCCACAATTTTGCATCACCCAACAATTCAGGAATGACAGCAACTGTGGCAATGTAGATGAAACCCCCGGCTGTGAATGGCAGGATCCAGCTTGTAGCCAACTCCCCTGCACCCTCTGCCATCAGACTACACAAGGTGCCTGACAATGCACCGGCTGCTGTGGCCACTTGCAAGAACATAGCCTGAGTCAGAAGAAATTATAAATGACAAAAGTGATAATATGAATTAAACTTAATGATGGCCTTTTTTAATTTAACCAGAATTTATTATAGCTTAAATCATCATAACATTAAAACAGACTATAAAACATGCATACAAAAGATTTAACACAAAAATAAAGCCCACCTTTTTTTTAGAACATCCAGACTGAATGAGGATAGCAAAGTCACCAATCTCATGAGGAACTTCATGAAGTAAGATGGTCAGTGTTGTTATCATGCCAACATTTCGGCTGACCAAATATGAGGCTCCTATTGCCAGACCATCAGTGAAGTTGTGGGTGAAGTCAGCTGCCAAGTTCAGATAGGCAGCCACTTTGATACCAGATTCTGAAAAGTTGAACAAAATATTTTACTGATTTTATTGAGTGAATTAGCAAGTAGACACCAAATATTTGCAATACAACAATAACAACACCTTTGGTTTCTTTTTTAGGTGGTACATCTTTTTTAGTATCACCATGTTGTTCAACCTTTTTTTTGTCACTAGCTGCTATACTATGACTATGACCATGTTTTTCATTTTTTAAAATACGAACTAATTTTTCCACAGCTAGAAAAGCAACAATGCCAGATAGAATCCACAACCCAACCCTCATATCATGAGAATGAGAACTACCATCACCATGTGAATGACCATGATTATGACTACTGACATGGTCATGATCGTGGTGGATATCAACAGTTGAATCATGAGCCATCAAAGCATGAGGAATGAGATGAAGAAATGCATCTCCTAACAAACCTCCTGATGCGAAACTGAGCAATGTCTTTAAAAAGTTTTCGTGAGCTGGTCCCTTGTCTAATGGAATAAGTAGAAGAATAACAATCGGGGCCAAACTGATCAGAACGGTTGATCCAATTGCAGTCATCCATAAATTAAATTCAACTGGTGTTTCATCTTCTCTTTTAACAGTTTTGTGTGCTTCGTGTTCTTCCTTTGGTTTAGCAGTTTTTTGTGGTTCAACGGGTTTAACCGGCACATCTTTCACATTGGCTTCCCTGGAATACTTGAAAGAAGGCGGTTTTTGTTCGCTTTCATCGTGATGATCATGATCATGATGGGCATGTCCGTGATCGTGTGCATGTCCGTGAGAAGCACCGTGATCGTGCGCATGTCCGTGAGAAGCACCGTGATGGGCATGAACGTGACCATGTCCAGCTCCAGGTCCATCGTGTGAATGTCCATGTCCGTGACTAATTACAAACAACGTCACAAAAATTAAAAAAAATTTTAGAATCATATTTGAATTATTAGACTTTAATAATAAATAAAAAGCAATTCTTTCCAAGACATATGCGATACGCCAAATAAAAACAAGAAAATTTCCTACGATGTTTAAAAGTGAAACAGACAAATTTTTCTACGTGTAAGTGATACCAAAGAAAGATAATAGGAAATTATAAATTTTCGCATTCAATCAACCAGTGATCCATCCTCTTTCCTTTTAGACCGTTGAGGTCGATGCCGTCAACTTTTTGCAGATTTCAAAAACTTTCTATTTTAACCAATTTGATTGAATTCAACATTCTAACCAGTTTATCGTTCTCCAACGTCAATCATTTATTTCTCCTCCAAACTGTTATTTAAAAAGAACACCAATTTTTGATTTTATTTCGATTAAAAAATTGACTGTTTCAAAAAAAATGTTCGCTCGAAGATAAGTTGGTGGCCCCTCACAATTTATTACCAGCAAATTTGTTTCAGCTGTCGATATACTTTACAATTAGTTTTTTGTCATTCGGGCCACAATACTCCTTCGAGTCCGAAGATACAAATGAAGTTAAAGATTATACCAAGCCCGCCTTTCCTTGTTTGAGTTTCAACGCGCCACGACAGACTTGTTGCCAGAACCAGCGTTTCCAAAATCGTTACGATAACAAAATGAAGGTCAACAACGTTCAAATAAGAGCGTTATATCTTCTAAATTGAATAACATATGAGATCGAAAACAGCAGTTCAATTATTTCGTTCAAATAACCAAAAGAATAAAAGGAATGATTTCTAACATGTAACTATAACTAACAAAATTATCAAATAAATGATAAAAAGAATCATTTGGAATTAAATAACTGTATTACAATTTTTGAAATGTTATATATAATAAGCGAATTGAAAAGTTATAATCAGCAGAATATTGTAATAAAATTGATTAGTGACAAATAAGCATTAGTAATATTGAAAAAAATTTATTTGGAGGACAAACTACAATTTCTACAAACCTAAATAACCCCAAGAGAAAACTGCAACAGTTAAGAATAACCAAAAATCATAGATCAATCTATGTAAAAGTTTTCATAAATTGCATAAATCACATGCACATACGCTAACACACACCACAAACACACACACACACACACACACACACACACACACACACACACACACACACACACACACACACACACATCTACATACACACATATATACAATACAATATTCATTTATCAAATTTGTGTATATATGAATTTATGGTAAAATTTAATTTTGAAGCTTCAAAAATTGAAAGAAAATATATAATTATATAATATGAATTGTAAATGGTAAATTTGAAATCACAAAAAATATAACCGCCAAAAATGCATTGTCATATTGAATGAAGAACGAATAATGGATATTAAACTATGTGATATAGTTGTAAGACTGAAAACTAGACTAAATTAGCTGGTCTGAAGGAAAATAAACATCAACTAGAATGCAGTAAAATGTTTATAAAGAAATAACGCCAAAATGAATAAGTTAAAAAACTGTATAAATGTACTAGTTTTTATAAACAAGTTTCACTGAAATGAAAAAATGAAATAAATTGTTATAAAGAAAGCATGGAGCATCTACGATCTACATTTTCATATTTTCGTGTGATAATAAATGTCATGTAGAACAAGCCATCCGAGCCATCCAGCCAGTCACACGCCATCTCCAACCATGGTAACATCTGCAGAGGCAGTAGGGATGAACTTGTTACTGATGCCAGCACAATTCATTTGGATGTTCTCGCTGCTGTCCAGCACCTCCTCCTCATCAAAGTCATCCTCGTCGTGATGGTGGGTGACTTCGATCGGCGTTTCCGCCCTGAGATGGGGCACTGCCAATGAGTTTTCCCTCAACAAGGGGGTCACAGGCTTCTGGTCAACAAAGTCACGCGACCTTCTGGGACCTTCCTCGTCACATGATTCATCCTCCGCTGTCAAGTTCACGTGATCAACAGTTGATTCGTGTGGCATCTGATGATTGTTGTTGTTGTCGTTAACAAATCAACCAACCAACAAACCAACCAACCAACTAACAAACCAACCAATTAACCAATCAATCAACCAACCAACCACCAACTATCCAATCAATCAACTAAGCAATCAATCAATTAATCAATCAGTCACAGACTCATTACGTACTAACACACTAACCAGCATAGAAGGCGATTTGAACATGTAACAGAATGGATAATATAGGAGGTTGAGAAAGGTGGAGGCGTACAAATCTGCATACCTCATCACTTGACTGGCAAAAAATGTCTGACGCGATCCTGCCCGTGCAATATTAACATGCATATTATTTATGATGAATTGTACATCCGTGGTGGACATTGAAGTAATTAATCAAGTAATTAATTAATTAATTAATCATTTTAATTAGTTCATAATTTTAACTAACAACTTCCTAACTTTTGTGAACGAAAAAACAAAAATTAAAGAAGCATTTTAATTAGTTTTAATAATTTAAACTAATAATATCCTAACTTTTGTGGGTGACAAAACATAACAAAGAGAAATTAAAACAAGTAAAATGGTGCAACAAATAAATGAATGAATGACACAAACCACTTCTAAAAAGACTGCCGTAAATTCCATATGACAAATCCATTTCATGAGTGACCTCCTGTATGGTTTGGTGGGTGGTGGATGGATGGATTGATTATATTGAAATTCAACTAATTTATTGATAAATTCGACTCACAGATCGATCAATTTATTGATGTCTTACACGATCCTCACATTTCCATAAATTCTATAAACAGTTCCGAAGCAGTTTCAAGAAAAAAACATTAAGATTTTTAAACTAGAAATGATATCTCTTCAATTTTCTACAACTAAGTTGAAAAAATGACAACTGTGCGTGACATGCATGACATACGTGAAATACTGAAAAAATTTTCCAAATGAAGAATCCAACCCTGATGGCCTCCTGCAGGACAGTGATGTCAGGTTTTATGCACGAGGCACTGTCCAGGTTCTTGTACTTGTCGCTCAGAAGTACATCCAGGTTTTGAAGTCTGTGTCAGTTCGATCATTTAATTATTCATTTACATTATTATTTATTATCTTTTTTCAGTTTTAAATGCAAAATATTTCAATATTTGTGAGACTTCTTTAATGCTTAAGCTTCATCATAGTTGGAAAATTCATCATAATTATTTTATTTCATATAACACCAGTAAATGTTGGATTTCGGTAATGTTCTATAGTAGAAAAATGATGCTGATAAACAACTGGCTAACTAACAACAAACATGTAGAAGAAATTGATAACAAACGAACAAACAAACAAACACAAAACTTATTGAAATACATTAACATAACAGGAAGACCAAAGAGTAAACCTATTGAAGAGAGTTCGCTTGTGTGTCCAAACATGAAGTTCTTGGTAAAGTTCGGGGATGACGAGGAATGTTCTCCAACCTCGAATCTTCTTCGACTTCAAGATGTCCCCAAAAATGTGGTCACCAATGTACAGGACATCCTTGCCCTTTGCTCCAATCAGTTCTGAAAACACATCACACGAGCCTGAAAAGAATTTGTTGAAAAATTAAAAAACATTTCGAGTTATTAATAAATTTATTCAAACATGTATTGTATACATAATATGGCCACTGTAAAAATTATGGTAAATGTATTATCTTGCACATAAATGTATGCACTTCCTGATGATAGCTCATGCACCATGCTTTTGATGTAAGAAACTAATAGTGATCTGGTTCAATTGCTGACTCATCCAGCTAGATGAAATAACAATTGTGTAAAACATACAAAAGTTGTTAGTGCCCACGTTAAAATATATGCATTGGTTATGTGAAACAACAGAAAATGTTAACGGAATTGTTGCTGTCCACAGGTACAACAAAAAAGACAACGAATGAACAATGTAGTCATGAAGTGAAAATTTTATGCAGTGCCATCTGGCTGTTTTTCTACAATAATTGAAAAAATATAAAAAATATAAAAAATGAAAAAAACGAATGTAATACCTCCAGAGTAGATCTGTCCTGCCTGCAGGGGTCCAGTGTAGTTGCCAATCTTCTGGGCGCCTGTTCTCTACAAATGTTCCAGGTAAATAAGATTTAATCATTATTGCCATACAAACATTATTTAACAGTTATTTCAATGAAGAAACTTCATTTCGCGAGCAAAAATCAAGCCAAAATTCATTTGAATAATCAACCTCAACCTTAAAACTCAATCAATTCATCAATCAATCAACCAACAACAACAACAAGCCAGTCAGTCAACCAGCCAGCAACTAGCTAGTTAACAGCTAACAAGCCAGCCAAATTACCAGCCAAATAACCAGCCAAATAACCAGCCAACCAACTAACCAACTAACCAACCAGATAGCCAGTCAACCAACCAACCGACCGACCAACCAACCAACCAACCAGCCAGATAGCCAGCCAGCCAGCCAACCAACCAACCAGATAGCCAGCCAGCCAGCCAACCAACCTTATCAATTTGTCTAAGAATGGTCCCCTCGCCAAAGAAGTTTGGTTTCCTACTCTCGACGACAATGTAATCGAAGTACATCTCCCACGTCTTCTCGGGGCTGTCTAACAAGTAGGACATTATTTTCTGCAAAATTATAATTCATGTAAAGATGAAGTTACGAGAGATAAGAGAAAGAGAGAGAGAGAGAGAGAGGAAGATAAACAGAGAGAGGATGTATGTTCTCATTTCATAATATCATTACTGATTTCGCATTACTATGAGCCATTTTATATTTCATATACCCATTATTACAAATTACTTTTGATGGTGCTTCCACCCCTTATAGATGTCATTAATGATATCAGCTTTAATTACTGACGTTGTAAACATCATCATAATTATCCTTGAGTTATAATAGCGTGAAACAGTCTTCAGTGATAAGATGGTAGGCAGTTCAGTTAGTACCACTTAAATGTTCATCACTGAATGATAAGATAGATTTGTTGAAGTGTAGTATGTTGTGCACTTCATTCGTTTACATGGTTATAAAAGTGCACCTGCCTCCCTGCTTGTCAAGAAGTAACTTCCAAATTAATCACAGGAGTGCAATGAATATTTTTAGAATCATAAAATAAAATGAAATAATTCTAAAATTGAAAAACTATAAACAAACTATTCTAAAAGTGGACCAGATAAGAAGAACAAATTTGACGCACAATAAAAAATATGAAAATAGGAATGTGAAATTAGAAATGAACAGAGGAAGCAGAGCCTTACACAGGAGTAATTGTAGTCACTGTTTGTTAGAAGGAAGACCTTAGCTCCAAACTGTCTCATTCTGTTGTTGAGTTTTATTGTAATTAATTAATTAATTAACTCATTAATTAATTTATTAATTACTTCACTAATTTATTTTACACCATCTAATTCGGTATAATGCGTAATAATGTTCTTAAGCAATCAGTGAATTATAAAAACGGTAATCATTTTTATTATAGCCACAAAACCATTAACATGATCAAAACAATATTTTGAAAAAATAACTTCGATAATAAAAAACTATAATAACGGGCAACAATCAACAATAAAAAGCAACAACACAAACACACACACAAAAACACACACAAACAAACAACCTGTTCAGTATGACAGGCAATCTGGCGTCCTTATGTACGTACTGGTCTATTGAGTCCAATATTATAGACTTCAGGTCACCCTACGTATATGTGGTGGCGGGCATGCACATGTGCGCAAGTCAGAAACTCACCAACATCAGCACACACTATTAACATCCTCTTATCATCATAAACAAGCAGCAATGATGTCATCATCGCCATAATCACTATCATCATCATCATCATCACCTGTACGTGTATCCAATCGATGACATCTCTGCAATCCTGAAAAATAGACTTGAATGACATGAAAAGCTCTTTGCATTTCACTCCTGTCGGCTCACTGGATGATGATGATGACGACGATAATGACGACGACGACGATGACAACGATAAGTACAAAAGTGATGAGGATAATAATAAAAAGTGAGTAAAGTGATGAAAGTGAAAAACAATTATAATAAAAATAAATTAATAAAATAATAATATAAACAATGACTGTGCTAATGATAGCATTAGCAGGGTGTGCCATGGGACTACTGCTTCCCACAAACGATTTTTATTTAAATTTTGCAATTTAATTTTAATTTTATGAAAGTTATCTTTCCTATTTAATAGGAAATTCACGATGTTGTGGCTTTTAGCTTTAAAATGACTAAAAATGAATATTTAAAAAAATTTGGCAGAACCTCCAAATAACCTTAAAAGAGCTAAATTCTAACAATGCTTACTTCAATAATGGCATAGATGATGGGGATAATAATAAAAATGACAATAATAAAGATGATTGATGTTTGTTGATTGTTGGATAAATTTCATAAATTTTAACATGGTCAACCTTGTGTCATTTTCTGTTTTATATTACAAAATAAATCTAGTTTCGTACGGATATAATCATTAGTAGTAACGGTAATGTCAGAGAGCAATAAAATTATTATTTTCGTACATTTTGTCATTCTGGTTATATATTTTTGAGTGAGTTTGCATCATGTGCCATATTAGTTAAAGTTTTCATTTAATATCTAGGAAACGGATACAATGACGTTTAATAATAACTTGAAACGATTTTGATGACCATATAAGACGACCAACGAAATAAGATGACTGAGTGTGGCAGAAATATTTCTAATCTTTGTTCATGATAAGAACGAGGTGATAAAATCCACAATTATTCACTAAGTGGTAAAGTCACAATTTGTACACGGAAGATCATTTAAAGTAAACCTCTATAAATCATACATTGAACCTGTCATCGTAATCAATAATATCAAATTATGATGTCATCTTATCATTCTTTTATCATCATCATTGTTCTTATTATTATCATCATCATCATCCCATCATCGTCTTAATTGGTGTGGTGTTATCGTCATTATCAAATTATGACGTCATCCTCCTCCTCCTCTCCACTATCACCACCACCACCATCATCATCATCATCATTGATGAGACGACAGTGTGGGTAGCAGGATGGAGTGAGTGAGTGAAATGAGATTGTCCTAATTTAAATTCAATTGAAATTTAATTCAACAGCTAGAGATGATAAATATAATTCAGTGCCACAAGTTCACTCTGAATAATTAGGTAAATAATAATGATGATAATAATAATAATAATGATGATGATAATAATAGCAAAAGCGATAAAAACAGACCAAATAATTTGCTTGCCAGCTGTTCATCCAGCCAGCCAGTCAACCAATCAATCATTATTAAATAAAATAAAATACATAGTGCAAAAATTTGTTAAATTGTGATCGATGTATTAAATAAGAGTATGAAAAATATGAAATCAAAAAAGTCATTATTAGCTGTAAACACACACCACACACACACACACACACAAACATGAAATAACACACGAACACAAACAAACAACAAACTTACATACACATGCACGCACATAAGGGCTTAGTTAAACCAACAAAATATTTAAAAACATGCACTGTACAGAGTTTATGCAAATGTGAATAAAAGTGAATAGCGCCATGTAATGAATCACACCGGTTCAAAAATGAAATATTACATTACAAAAATGTAAACAGTCAAAAGAATCAACGATGTTGAATTGGTATAACAAAAAAATGAACAAACAAACAGACAAACAAAACAAATCGACAAACAAAAAAGAAACACACAAAAACTGCATGCACAAAGTAGATACACATTTTTGGTACCATCTTTGTATGTACAAATTTTTATGCACGTGTTTGTTGTGTACGCACTTAAAAATTTGTTTGTATATTTATTGTACACTCACGTGTTAACGTATATTTGCATGTTTGTAGTGTACATTTATAATTTTAAATGCTAGTAGATGTAGAATGGATATTTACTGCAATAATTCAATGGACATGTGCTAAAAGAAGAGCAGGGCTGTTGTAATAAAATGAAGTGAAAAAATCATTCAGAACAGAGCTGGCATCTGCACTATCTATGGACTATAAATATTGGCCGGGTGAAAAAGAATTTAAGATGATGGTAAAGGATAAAATAAAATGTAAAAAGGTGTAAGATTTAAAAAACAAATTGTTAATCAACAGCTTGTCAGTTAATCAACAAAATAAAACTTACAAAGAAAATATTAAGTAAGATGAAGAGAATAGCAAATGGTCATCAACAATAAATGCGGTTCTACCAACAATAATCGACGATAACACTCTGAAGACGGCTTTAAAGAGCCTACATACAAACACTGCTAAAGCCGGCGCTGAGTCGTACCAGTCGCCGCTATTGCTCGATCGATGGCCTCCTCCAGCACCAAAAATAGATCCTTCAGAAGAATTACTTCCAAGGGCTATCAGACGGACCCTCGCCCAACTGAATGGTTTGATCGGCTTTTAAACATTTGAACATGATTTTAGCTTATTGTTAACTTTTATTTTTAATTATTTTTCACTTGTGATATTTTGATATTGTGACAATTGGTTTGTGATATATCAATGCAAGGGTTCCATATTATTTAGAATTTTATTTTCTTCTTTGTAACCTTTTTTCATGTTTCGTTTTTACGTTTCATAAAATAAACTTCTATAAAAAAAATTTGGTTTATTTCTTATTTGGTCTGATGATATATTTAGAGAATAGTTTGATTTCATTGTGGATATAAAAGCACCAACAACGGTGATGGCAAAAATAAAAGAAATAATTATTAAACAGATGAGAGTGTGGAATTTAAACAAGCAAGCACCAAATCACTGCAGATAGAAACTGACGAATGATATGCTGCATAAAATAAGCGTCAACTGATTCAGAGCAAATGTTACAAAAAACGAGTTCTTAAAAATTGTTTCTAATATTAGAAAGTCAGTAAAATCAAATATGCACACATACAAGCCGTGTGGCTGTCGTGTCATCCAAGGATATTTTGTTTACATACTCCACTGATTAAGCATTCTTTCATCTGGTTATCTTCTCATCTATTCATTCAAGCATGTATGCATGCGTGCATGCATTCATTCGTTCGTTCATTCATTCATTCATTCATACATACATACATACATACATACATACATACATACATACATACATACATACATACATACATACATACATACATACACACAAACATACCTACATACATACATACATACAAACAAACATACATACATTCGTTCAGTCATACATACAGACATATATTTATGCATAGTCATCTGCAGCGGTGCTTAGATATTATTAAAAATACATCGACATTTTCCCCCAGCAAGTTAAGTTAGTTAAGTACACTACATACACTACACTCACACTGAAGAAGACAAACATACAAAAGTTGTTAAAGATGGTAAAAAACGAAGGAACATGCACACATAATAAAAAACAAACAAACACTCAAACAAACAAACAAGTATACAAATAAACAAACAAACATCTACCATTACATACACTCATAAAAGCAGACAGGCATGCATACATCATAAAACTCACGGCAAGTTAGATCTGTTTACAAATTTTATCATTAAGTGACTTACTAAAAGTTTACATGTTTTTATGAAAACAAATTTAATTGGAGCCTGTTGTTCAATTTAATTTTTCAGTTAGAAACACTCCAACTGATACCCAATGTTTTCAGAAACCGACATGAATGAGTCTACACCTACATATTTATACATTATTCTCTATATTCCCTCTTTTTATATATTTCTATATTTCTCTCTCTCTCTCTCTCTTGCACTCACATTCCTACTGATGATACTACTACTGCACGTTTGAAGACGTGAGTGAACGTACATCAAATCCTATTTTTAGGTTAGTCTTTTCATACCTAATTCTTTCATTACATATATTTCTCTTTCATTTCTAGCATATTTTTAAACTCCATCCCTCCCTTCCTCCTCTCTATCTCTCTCTCTCACTTTCTCAGGCACTCACATATTTCTAGCACTACTCCTGAACTTTAAAAAACCTAGGTGATTCAACCCACACACAGAATTTTTTCAATAGGTTTATAAGACAAAAAATTTTTGATATGGAAAAAAAATTTAAACAGAAAATGAATAAAAATAAACGAGTTTCTAATTAAAAGTTGAGACTGATGAATTATCTATAATAACGTCATCGGCTATGTGAAGGATTCATTAAAATTATGTTTGGACTTGAATAAACAATTATTATATCAAATAAACCGTTTAAATGAATATACACTAACTGCACATAATCAGGTGAATTGCTGAAGAAGTCTATAAGGCAGGCAAGAAGGTAAGTCTCTGTGATCGAGCCCAATGAATCACACAATTAGTAAATCAATCAATTAATCAATCAATTAATCAATCAATTAATCAATCAATCAATTAGTCAATCAATCAATTTATCAATCACTCAGTCTGTCAATTAAACATTTATTTATTCAGTTTGTCATCAGTCATTCAATTATTTGATAAAATTAACTGTTGGCCAGTCAGTCAGTGAATCAATTGGTTTAACAGTGCAAAGCAAGAGAGATGAAAATGACCAATGAGTTTTATTTTGTGGTCAAATGATCAATCCAATATAAACTCAATATTTCTCGAAATACAAATAAATCAATCCACTCAATTGATCAATAAGTCAGTCAATCAGCCAATCAAAAGTCCCCACTAATCAATCGATCAATCAATCAATCAATCAATCAATCAATCAATCAATCAATCAATCAATCAATCAATCAATCAATCAATCAATCAATCAATCAATCAATCAATCAATCAATCAATCAATCAATCAATCGATCGATCAATCAACCAACCAACCAATCAATCAATCAACCAATCAATCAACCAATCAATCAATCAATCAACCGATCAATCAACCGATCACCCAATCAGATGACCATCATGGTGCAGACACTGACCAGGAAGATTGAATAATGTGTTGAGAACATATATCCTGTTCTCATCCAGCTGAATGAACTTGTTAGGATAGAGTGTTCTTATTTCTGAACTACAAACAAATTAAAATTAAAAAGTTTATGAAAAAATTCTGGAAGAAAATTAAAGCAAAGTTTTTCTAAAACAAATTATTACTACAAAAACATGATAAAAAATTGAGTCAAATTTAATCTAGCAAACAAAACACAATGTAACAATACAATGATAATAATAATATATTATATATATGATAATAATATATTTTGAAGGCCAGAGTTAAAAACTGTAAACAAAAATGAAAACAACAAACAATTTATGTATTTTTTGGCTGATTCTGTTTATTTTTAAAAATTATACAGGTAAGCATTGTCACAAACAAGCCCAACAATTTTATATAAAAAAAACCACTTTTATATTAGAAACAGAAATGAACAAATGTAACTAAACCTACAATAATCTTAACAACAACAAAAGCAGCAGCAGCAACAACAACAACAACAAACAAACAACAACAACAATAATAATATAGATGTAATAAATAATAATAATAATAAAAAAGTAATAAAAAATAATAATGATGAAAGAAACAAATGAAGAGGAACAAACGATTTGAGAACAGTGAAACCGTGAGTGCAGACCAGCAGGTTCCCATAAGGATCAACTTTCAACAGGTTTCCATACTTTGTGTCAAACCACAAACCTCTTCATGATAACACGATGATCAAATACTTTCATATATTTATCTATTTATTCATTTATTTACTTGTTGATCATTTTATTTATGAATTCAATACTATATTTATTTGATAACTTAGTAAATTATTGTTAAATTAATTATTTAATTTAAAAAAATGAAAATAAATTCAAACATTAGAATAACAACAACACAACCACAGTTTTGTTATTCATTTTATACTTGCACACATAAATGTTACATCCAATTATAAAAATTAATACAAATCCACACAAACTACAACCACATATATCACAATATATATCACAGATGCTTCTAACATGTCACTAATAAAATATCTAATTCAACAGGAGGTAGGTATGGAAAGCAGAGATTACCTAACGGGGAAAGTAGGATCGTACTGATATATCTTGAGGGCTTCCGGGTAACCGATGGCCACCAACCTATCAACTGCTTGATTGAAACCCAGCGACTCCATTTGTGGAGATTTGTAAACTTGGCGTGGAGGGAAAGATTTATCAACGTATTTTAGAAAAATATATCCTTTACTTTTAGAGAAAGAACTTTTAATAATTTAAGGTGGATATTTAATTATTAAATTAAAATTATTAACTTCTGGAATAATAATTTCAATTGAAATTATAGTATACTATAAATGAGCAATATTTCAAAAATTAAAGACTGTAAAGTTCAGGATAATAATATTAAGAAAATTATTTACAGCCATCTTTAAATAAACAGGAATCTATTGAATAATTACAATTTATAAATGAGGAAAATTCTTTGATTTTGAACTATGATTTTCAATCCTAACCAGCTAGAGTGTAATCCATATCAAAACCAAAAAATTTAATCTTTTCCAGGTGTAAACTTCTATTGACAAATATCCTTTAGTAGAGTTTAAAAAAAATACTAAAAATTACTAGCTAGTAAAATTATTTCAGCTTTATAATTTTGGCAATGTTTTCTTTAAAAATTTCATAAAAAAAAGTTGAATGGCAAAAAACTTTTTCAATATAATTTATTTAAACATTAATAAATAATTTAACACTAATAATTAATTTATTTAAATTTTAATAAATAATTTAACACTAATAATTAATTTCTTTTAATTTCAATAAATATAATAACAGCACAATCGATTCATTTTGCTTAAATTAAATTACAGATAAATTTAAAATCAAACACCTAATTTAATTTTAATTATAAAAAATACTAAATGAACTGACTGAACCTATGTTTAGTTTCCCGTTTATATGTCTTGGCAACAGTCAGGTCTCCCATTCCGGTGCTGTTCAGCAGCTCAATGCTCATGCTTCTCAGGGTTACATTATTGGGTTTGTTGCTCAAGGTCGATGATTGTGTGGCTGTCGTTGGCGAGCTAGCATTGCTTTCATTAGAAGAAGATGCCATCATAAGGTGGTTATCAGTTGTTTATTAATCAATTGAAATGATTAATTACAGTAGTTATGTATCTTTGTTCTTAGTTATATTATTTGTTCTATGTATGAGTTATCTATCTATGCACCTATCTATTAATATTTGATTTCCAATTATATGCCAATTTACTTAGATCTACGTTCACTGGCAGGCTGGTAGGCAGTCAGGCGGGGTAGGTACTTGAAAGGTAGAGTTTATTAAACTTTTTTTTAGAGTAGGGTGAAAGTTAATTGATCAGATCTGATTGGTGTTGATCATGACATAAAATAAGAGTTATTAAGAGTTAGAAGGAGTGTTTGTTTATAAAAATAGATTTTAATTGAAATATATTAAATTTTAAATAACTCTCAAGGTGAATTATAAAACCACAATAACCAATTTTCAGCACGAACGGAAATACCTGTCATTAGGTATTTTTACGAAATAGATTTTGAAAACCTTTCTCCAAAGATTTAAAGATAGGTAAAACTAATAGCCGTAAATACCAGGTAGAACGTAATTAAAATAATAAAAATGAGAATGACGACAACGACGATGATGATGTCACTGGGATGTGATGTAAGCGTCAGATTGACAGTCTAACTGGAGAAATAATATTTTACCATGGATTTTGAAAGTTTGGTGGTATTTACATGTCTTTCTATTCCTTCGTATGTATTAGGTCATCGCCATGGTTTAGTGGTTAAGGTGCCTGATACAGAGACAGAGTTCGAATGTATAGATTCTTTTTGACGTCATCAAAATGTTATAACATCTTTTCCAGCGATCAAAAACATTCTTATTTAATTTAACTTGATGAGAATAGATAATAATTTCCACAACTAGTATATTCTTCATTTAATTAGAGAACATATTTGTAAATAAGAACAATAAATTATATTCAATTTTATACATTTGTATGAAAGCACTTTGAAAATATACTTTCTAATTGAATTCCATTCAATCGGTGAAAATATTAATTAAATAACATTAAATAACAATGTACGTGCATGTAAATGTACTACATTCATACAATTTTTTATTAATTTTCCAGCCAATCAGCATCAAGAAGTTTTGGGACAAAAATCATCACTCAACTGGTGACTCAGTAAATTCGACGAATCGTGATGTCAACTTTGGTGTGTGCTTCTCAAAAAAATATTCAAGTTGAACTGAATAAAATACATTTTCCATACTTTTTCATTTCGGCTTCAACTCTTGTCGCTTCTACATTGTGAGCTGCAAAAGATGAGATAGGAAGACTCAAATGCATCCGCCTGTGCACTTCTTCTTAGTCAATACCTTCTTTAAAATTTCATGAGAACACTTTTGAAGCAGCGGCAACCTGGTTACGGACTCGCGCGCAAAAAACAACAACAACAACAACCTCAACAACAACAAAGAGACTTTTCAGCGGGGATATCTGCCATTTTTATAAATTCATTAAGCCACACGTTTAAAATGTCGAAATGGGAAGAAAAAAATGCGCATTTAAAAGCTTTCAATGGAATCCGCGCTTGCATTTTAATTAGCACTCGTCGATGCACTTTTACACTGGAAGCAACAGGCAAATTTTCACCGGAAGTGGATGAGGTTGAAGAGTTTCCGGTTATACAGAAAGCTTTTAAGAAAGAGACAGGTGATGACGATTACGATAATAATGACGATGATGATGATTGGTTATGGTTGAGATAGTAATGATGATGGTGCTTGCAATGGCGATGCTGAAGACGAAATAATTATGGTGATGACGGTGATGATGATGATGACGGTGATGATGTTTTTGATGTGGAGAGGCAGGAAGTGGAAAGGTAATCAACTGTTCTTCTCGTGTTCGTGATACCCAAAACATCATCATCGACACATCCACATCATAAAAAGTGGAATTTTTTATTTTCTCTTGTTCGTACGTTTCAATTGTTGTTAATATTGGTGTTTGTTAGGTTATTTATGCCTAGATATAAATTATTTGTTAATTTTTAGTAAGCAGCTGACCACAGAACGAAATTACTGAACATCAACGTAGGGGCAAAAATGGAAAATACGTGAAAACAACACAACAACAACACACACACAACAACAA